ACCCGTGGACCGAAATGCATTTCCGTGGCTTCTGGCTGGTTTCGATTGGGTTCTTCCTCATCGGAAATTGAAGGGGAGTAATAACCCGGGTGAACCTGGTTTGCGGCCCATTTGTTGTGGTATTTGGTTGTGATGGACCCGGATGTCGCAGAAATGTTTCATGCAGCATCGATTTTCCAGTTCAGAGTGGTTCCTGATAGCCGTTCGCGTGGGAAGAACCTGCAGGTGACAAGCTGTCCTGTTGCCGACCAGGGTTTTCCCTTTTTCATTTCTTCTTCTTTTTTATTTTTATTGTTTGTCCCACGAACAAATGCGCATCCTGGGGTACGTCTGGAGAAAGCTTTTTACGTGTACTGTGCTTCGTTCGGAGATTTTTCGCTGAAAATTGCATTGCTGCTGGGGGCCTGGGGAACAGGTTGCTGAGCGGAATCACTTTTTTTCTTTTCTTTCTTTTTATTGTGGTTCTGCTCGCTGCGAGTATATCTTCCCCTCTCACGATCCAATCATGCGAGTGCACCGGATCGGGGCAGGAATTCGTTGAAGTTTTCTCTGGGTTCCTTGACGGAATTTTCCGGAATAAAGTTGAAAGAACACTGGAGAATCCTCATCTGAATCCATGCTCTGTGGGTGTGATTTTTAAATCTAGCTCATTATAATTTTTTTTGTTTTAATGTCTGTATGCCTGAAGTATCCATTTTACTGAGAAAATTAAAATTGATCGTAACTTGAATTTTAAAATCCGAGATGCGGACCTAATTTGTGCATTGACCTCGTCCCTATGTCGGAACGTCTTCATGTCGGATCGCGTGTTCCCTTGGACTTCAATGGAAATCTATTCAATCGGTTGCCCTGTTTATCAAAAATTAAGGGGGAAGGCCCCCAAAAATGAATAAAATAAAGTTTCTCAATTCGAGATATAAAAAAAAGACTGCAGAATGAAACCACACGTAAACTGATTTTTTTTGGACACGGAAAGGAGCCCAAAAAGAAAAGCAAAAGCACAAGTTTTCCAATCCTGCGTAGAGCGGATCATGGAAAAAACTCAAGAAACATGAGCACAAAAGCCTGTTTTGGATTATAAATTATGGTTCATACTGTAAACTGCATAATAAATTTTCGTTCAGTACAATACAGTATATGAATATATTCAACCTCTTTGAGTCAAATTTCAAGGGACCAGCAAAAAATTCTGCTTAGGGAGGTTTTAAATTATAGAGGTTTGAGCTGAAATACAAAGCTCTTTTGATCTGGGTAACAGAAAATTTGCCCAAAATTGTAAATGGTGGTATTCTGGTGCTTAAATTGCTTCTTAGATTAGTTGAAAGGATGCTGAACTTGTAGGCAGGGTTTCATTTGCCAATCAAGTCTTCCTTTTGAAGCACATCAATTTCAGTTTTTATTGCTTTTTTCTTTCTCGTGCAAAGAAAATAATAGCCAACAGGCCACAGAAAATTTAACTCGCGGAGGTTCAAGGGGGAAAGCCTTAGGCTTAGGGAGGTTTTTAATATATTGTCTATAAGGGGATTCCGATGGGGAACTGAAAAAAAAATTTGACTTAGGGAGGCTCGAGTTATCAAGGTTCACCTTTACAGTACTGTAAAATTCTCAGTCTTTTTAAGACATACAATTTTGAAAAATGGAAATTTTCTATTTGTCTAGTAATGTTGGTCAAGTTTCTGTATAATGATAAATTTTCCAGGTGTGAAGAGGCCTTCATTTATTTTTTGAAGTTTCAACTTAAGTGTTCCTTTGTGTTGGGGCATCTGCATGTTGGTGCCCCACTGTATTCAGTTTTGAGGAATCAGCCAGGAGACCAATTGTCTCAACGCATCCTGCGGAATAGCCGGAACTTCACCATGAATTGTATCTGGATCCTGATTTTTGACTCGGAAATCTTCCGGAATTCTGGGTTCAACCCCTTTTTTAAACATATATCAAGACTTGGGGAGGGTTGAATAAAATCGAATTTCTACAAATGGTTTCCAATTTGTTGCTTCAGTATGATTTTGCATGCATCGGTGCTACCAAAAAATAAAACAAAAGTGGCAACAATTTCCGCCATGATGGAAACTTCACTGGCACTGGAAATGTAGAAAATGTAGCCTGAATAAAAAAAAACCCGCAATATTCCAAGAAGTAATTTTCAATTAATTTTAGCATCTTCCCAGCAAGAGAACCTTCTTTATTGACACATCATTGTAGATTTTTCCTCTGAAATTTCAAAACATAGAAATATCGACGATTGACCGCAGCCAAGTTTTTTCTAAGTGGTACCTATGAGCGCGTGATTATGATATTCAACCCTGAATTTAGTGCCACCCTGGATTTAGTGCCACCCTGGCTTATTGCCACAAATTTTACCTGAACAAATCTCCCTCTACAATATTGTGTTATTAAGGGAAACCCCAATTAAAAATATGGTAAACAACAATGACCAATCTTTTTATGCCCTTTTAAATTTTGCCTTTGAGATGTTCTTCCATAATTGTTTCAGACTGCATGATTTCTATTGAATTGATTACCTCTTATGATTCTTTCCCCTCATCTGTTCAGCATGTGCCCTTTAAAGCTGGTGCAAGGAAAGTTATCAACTTTTCAAATGACAGATAAAGTGGAAAGGGTTGTAAGATTTACTTGCTCAATATTAATATGCTGGGTTCCACTGAAATGATGCTCTGGAATGCTAAGTTATCATATTCCTCACACCAATATTTCATTGAAATGAAAGTGCAAATAATTGCATCATTCCCTCTTGTAATTATATTATTCTTTTATTTTCTTATGTTGGATGATATATTTGTAATGTTTTCATTCAAGAAGCAATTCTATTTTTCAAAGTAAACACCACTAAAATTAATTTGCTTGTACTGTATTCTTAACTCTGAAAATGCATTGAATTTTTCAAAATTTGACGTAGGTACAGCTCCATTTTATTCAATTTTGATGGCCCACATCCCCTGTAGGTTGGAATTTATGGTATAATCATTTCTTGTGGAGGATTTTTGCCATTATTGCCAATTCTCTTTTTTTATATCCCTAATTTAGTGCCACCCTTGCTTAGTGCTACAAAATGTCCTGGGACGGATGGTGGCACTAAATTGGGGTTTGACTGTATTTTATATTATGTACATCAATTCTCGATTCGTTTTCCATTTTTTCGTATTTTATGTAGCTACTGATTTGAAAAGTGCAGAATGAGTAAAGAATAATTGGGGGCGAACCAGGACATTTTGATCACATTTCCTCATTGCCAAACCACAGAGCGCATGTGGAGAACCTAAATTTAGGTTGAAAGCTACCTAAATTGCTGTTGCTTGTCGGCATATTTGATGCTGAAATGGGAGTTTTCCGAGGTGGAATTTTTTTTGTAAATCGATCGTAATTCGGAAGAGAAATGAGAGTCAATTCCATTTGAATTGGGCAGGGCTCTTTTTTTGGTGAAACTCATGTGGCACAATTCTCTGTACTTGTATGAAGGCTTTTTTTAAATGTGCTGTGTTTCGTTTTGCAGGTTAATACGGGTAGTCTCCTTAGCGAGTTGAATAAAATCGAATTTCTATAATGCACATAATTTTGCGATTTGGGAAGCGTCTTTGTGATGGATGCTTCGCCAAAAAGAAAAAGAAAATTGCGTGTTTCTCTAATGGTCATCGGAGACCGGAACTACATTTTTACGTACAGTACAGTACTTTTTCTTGCCCGCGTGTCAAGTCGTTGTATATTTTTTGAGAGGACTCGTGAAGCCGGTTCGTGAACTCCGTGGTCATTAGTCGGTACACGAGTGCTTTGGGCCTAATGGAAGTACAGTACATATAGTACAGTACAGTCGAGTATGCCGATATTGATGGAATTCTTGTGTTCGTTTGTTTCAGCGTCGCCGCGAACGAGGCCAAGTCGAGCACGTTTGCGTTCATCGGACCTGAGAAGTACAATTCCTGGGAGACGTCCAACGTGATGTACGTCGGCACGACGTTCACCAACCTCGGCGACTACCGCCACGACGTGCCGGCCATCTCGTCGCGGCGCCTCTACAACATGGACTACGCCGAGTACTCCTTCTCCAAACAGTCTTTCGCGCGCATCGACGTCAAGTACCGAGACCACTTCACCGTCCGCTACGTCTACGGCTTCAACACGTCCGACTACGCCTACTTTGTGACTGTGCAAAAGCAGTCGCATTTGCCCGGCGACGAAGAAAAGGGCTACGTGTCACGACTCGCGCGGACGTGCGTCTCGGACGCCAATTACGACTCGTACACGGAAGTGAGCCTCGAGTGTCGCGTCCCGAAGGACGCCACGAGCTACAATTTGGTGCAGGCAGCGACGGTGGGACGAGTGGGGGCGTCTCTGGCTGCGCAGCTGGGGCTGGAACCCGGGGAACCCGTGCTGGCTGCCGTGTTCGCGCCGAGCCAGGGCCACTCGTGGGACCGGGTCGGAGGTGCTTCCGCGCTCTGCGTTTACCCGCTTGGCCAGGTGCAGGCCAAGTTCAATGAAAACGTCCACATGTGCTTCAACGGGTCCATGAAGTATCGCAACATGGGCTACATTTCTGGCCAGGTTCTGGACGGAGAATGTCCAAAGGCCGGGGTGAGTGATTCCGGTTCTCGTTGTACAGTACTGCATTTTACGTATGTTTCGTATACGTGCGACAGAAAAATTTAGATTCATTGATGAAACGAAGGTTTTGGGGACATGAGAAAATTTTTCAAAACCAGACCTGCTTATAAATCAATTAGATGGTGCTTTTTCTTGGAGTTCTCAGATTTTTTCATTATTATTTCAACGTCTGGGCGATCTTTTGGAAAAAATTAAGATTCAATCATGCATGCCATCAGTTGTACAAATTTCTCAAAAATGGGAGGATGATTTCATTAATTGCAACTTCAATCCTTGCTGCAAGAACCAGTCAGATTTCTGATTGGAAGTTTCGGACTGTGTTTGCCGTAGTCGAGAAATTTCAGCGTCGAGAATCTATTCAAAATTCCGAAAAAAAGTTTTTTTTTAATCCTGTACTGGAATGGGGAAGTTTATCATGACGGGATCGTTTCAACATGTACAGTACAGTACTGTACTCGAAGGGCTTTCCGCAGGGGCTTGAGAAAAAGTTCTGCTTCCCTGAAAAAAATGTTGCAATGGTATTTGATGTAACGAGATTTTACTGTAATGTACACTGCAAGTTTTTTTCTCTTCTCTTTTGTCATTATATTTAATTTTTAATAGTTTGAGTGCCGTGTCGGTCTCGGTTCCCTTGTTCGTGGGCGCGTTTCGGGGCGTTGTTATTGGAAGAATGTGGAACTCTCCCCCCCCCCCTTCTCCATCACTCCCCCCGTTCCCAGTTCTCCGCGAGGAGCCCGCCGGAACATTTTTGGCATTCCCCCCTTCATCCCACGTTGCTTGGCTACCCTCGCTGCCACCGCCATGAAAAACATCACTTATTTTTTTTTCTCTCTCCTTGGAAGCGGACAGCCATGGGCGGCAGCCGTCCTGGTTGGTGGATACTAATTAGAGATGGATGAAAAATGTAGAAAAAATTATGAAAAAAGGCGAGAGACAGTGTCAGTCGGGAAATTTGAATCTTGATAGGTCAGACGCATGTCTGAGGAAATTGCTACTGTTTTTTTTTTTTTCAAACCATGATAGTCGAGGCGATCACGCGGTGGAAGGGATTGACGGTACGAATTGTTGTACTGTACTGTACAGTAGTAACCTGTATGGCGTAGGTCTAGACAACAGTTCATGTTCGCTTTGTGAGGAAAGAAATATTTCGTTGTGCTGAGCTTCGAGACTGTCGCTTGTTGACGAAATATTTTTCCAGTAAAATGTAACAATTATTTCACACTTTGAAATGCAGCGGACTGTCCGTGTTCTGTTCGATTTTTTTTTCGTTCGGCCGAGTCCCTGAAAAGGTAACGTATCATACAGTACTGTATTTCCATTCAACTTCCGTATTTTTGGTTTATCTTTCATGATTCCGGAGATTTCTAGTTTCTGATAGCTCGTAAATTTATTTTGCACATCCAGTTTCAGTTTCATCGGGATCAATTCAGGTCGTAGCCGAATAAAATGTTTATTATTTATGAATATCCGCTGAATTGGATTTGAAATCAATTAGTATTAGAATGTAGTCAAACCTCTCTTAAGTCGAACTTCACGGGACTAGAATAGATTGAGTTTGGGAAACGAAGCTTTTGTAGAAGAATAATAGGGGGATATTGTATTTGATGATATTCTAAACCTGAAATATTGCATCTTAAATGAGTTCGACAGAATGCTGACCTTGGGGGAATGGGTTCGTTTGCCCAATGGGTCTGTAACTTTCAAAATGCATCAAGTAACATTTCCATAGCTTTTCTTTTTCCTGTGTGAATAAAAGGCTTACAGAAAATTTTGGCATATACAGGATGTTCAAAACCTCCCTTCGTAAAAAAAAATGATATTGGAGGTATTTGACTGAGGAATGTTTGAGTTATTGAAGTTCAACTGCATTTTCTCTAGTACAGTACTGTAAGTGTCATGCTTTGGCAACCATATCTGCGCTACCCGGTCCCTCTGTCCCGCTTCAAAATTTTATGAATGGGTTCGTGCTGAAAGGGCTGATCCGTAACGTAACTTAATGATTGAACATCAGCCGTAGCATGAACTTTTCAAGAAAGTCCGACTGCGAACGTGTACAGTGGGAACTACTGTAACCGCGGCGTACAGTACAGTAGTTGGACGTATTTTTTGCCGTGGCGGGTTCCGGGAGGCAACCAGAGTTGTGGTGTTTTCGTTTGACGTGGTTCGGCTCCTCCCTCCCCTGTCTTCTTGCTGTTCCACGGCTTCCCCCCTCATCCAGCCGGGGGTGGGGTTGACAGCGTGTGTAAAAGAAACTAGTGGGGATGCGAACGAGTCGAAGCACTGGGGTAAGTTCAACAACTCGTCCGGGGATGAAACCAATCCACACGGAGGTGCGGGGATTTTACCCGAAACCATTCCCCGTGCTTTTATTGCGCTCTGTCAACCACCGTGTTTATCACAGCTGCGGAACCGAGAGGGGGAATGAGTTTGGGAGGGGAGAAAAACATCCCGGGTGTTGGTTGTTTTGAATCACGTTTGTGGAAGACACCAAGTAAGCAGTGGAAGAAACGAAAACAGGAAAGGAGGCTGGCTGGCAATCGCTCATTTCGGATCGGATTTATAGAATTACGAAAACTTGGCAACACTTTCGTAAGCCTCGCACGCAAAAGGAAGATAGAGTATTCCATTCAAGATGTATATTTTGCGTGGTTCCATACATGAATTACAATTTCCGAATTGGTGTTGAGGTTATTGAAAAAGTGGTTTATACACAGTCAAGGCTCTCTGAGGGAAAAGCAAAAGAAATCACTGAGGGATTTTTTGAGTTCGGGAAGCAGGCATTTTTTATGTTTTTGAAAAAATGTGGAAATGCATGCAATTGCGTCATGGTAAAAATCGTTGATATTTTGGGACTCAAGACACTAGATTATGAGATTATACGGGATTCTGAGCTTGAAAACAGGGTAAAGTTGCCCACTTAGTCATTCATTTCCTTTCGGAAAAGCCTGTACAGTTAATGAGTAGATTATCATTGTACAATACAGTCAAACTTCTTCATGTCGAACTTTCAAGAACCGGTTGATCATTTTGACTGAAGGAGTTTTCGTGTTTAGAAGAAGAAACCTTTTTGTAGAAACACTTTAATGAAATTACAGCAAGGTAAACGTGTTGATCTAGGACTCAAACCACTGCATAAATGAGATAACATGATGATGAACTTGATAGTCCACCTGCCCAATTAGTCATACAATTCCTTTTTAAAAATCGTCTAGTTTGATTTTTATTGTTCTACTGGTTCCTTTGTTCATCGGAATGCGGCAATACTGTAGCACAAAGGCCTAAAACAATTCGAGTCGTAGAGTTTTTTTTTTTTACAGAGGTTCGAGTTACAGAGCCTTTCAGTTAGGGATGTTCAGCTATCACTGTTTTGAAAGGTTTTCTGTCAGGGCCAAACAAAACCGACATAATGAAGTATTTGACTTACGTGCGAATTGGCGTTTTTGAGGCTCAACTGTAGTTCATATTTCAGTTTATACGCAAACTTTTCAATAGAATGGGATTTCTCATTTGAGGTTTAAAATAAAATTGAAAAAAAAAAAACATCCAATATCTTGGGGTAATTTTCATGGTAATGCGGAACATGAAACAATCATACCAAGTAACTAGGAATAAGAGAAAAAAGAAGGTTTTAGCAATTCAAATCCCTTGTAAAAGTTGTTTCAAAGAAAAGCAAAAGAAATCACTGAGGGATTTTTTGAGTTCGGGAAGCAGGCATTTTTTATGTTTTTGAAAAAATGTGGAAATGCATGCAATTGCGTCATGGTAAAAATCGTTGATATTTTGGGACTCAAAACACTAGATAATGAGATTATACGGGATTCTGAGCTTGAAAACATGGGTAAAGTTGCCCACTTAGTCATTCATTTTCTTTCGGAAAAGCCTGTACAGTTAATGAGTAGATTATCATTGTACAATACAGTCAAACTTCTTTATGCCGAACTTTCAAGAACCGGTTGATCATTTCGACTGAAGGAGTTTTCGTGTTTAGAAGAAGAAACCTTTTTGTAGAAATACTTAAATGAAATTACAGCAAGGTAAACGTGTTGATCTAGGACTCAAACCACTGCATAAATGAGATAACATGATGATGAACTTGATAATCCACGTGCCCAATTAGTCATTCAATTCCTTTTTAAAAATCGTCTAGTTTGATTTTTATTGGTCTACTGGTTCCTTTGTTCATCGGAATGCGGTAATACTGTAGCACAAAGGCCTAAAACAATTCGAGTCGTAGAGTTTTTTTTTACAGAGGTTCGAGTTACAGAGCCTTTCAGTTAGGGATGTTCAGCTATCACTGTTTTGAAAGGAATTCTGTCAGGGCCAAACAAAACCGACATAATGAAGTATTTGGCTTACAGAGCTTTGCGTTTTTGAGGCTCAACTGTAGTTCATATTTCAGTTTATACGCAAACTTTTCAATAGGATGGGATTTCTCATTTGAGGTTTGAAATAAAATTGGAAAAGTTTTGTAGGTTATAGAACCCCATTAAAAGTACCATTACGCCTTGTACTTTGTTAGTATGGTTCATTGATCCTTATTCTCTTTTTTCTTCCAAAATCGTTAAGTTTAGGGAACATTTTCAACAAAGTTCTTATTAAGCATAAAAAATCATATGCACAGCTAGTGTAAGCGTTCAGTTTGTTTTCAACTATTTGTGTGTGCGAATTTTTAAAACTGTTATGGCAGAAAGGGGATTCTTCCTCAAGTTCAGAACATTAATTTATTTATTAGCATGAAAATTATTTAAAACAATTATATCGGGTATTCATTTGCATTTTGCCGAAAGCAGCTGTTTGAAAAATCCTTTGTATACTGTAATGCTAAAGGGTCAAAATTATTAAAAAGTAGTTAGTAACTTCAGGTCCTTCTAAAGTGCTTCTTCAATCAAAACGTCCACCTGAGAGAACAGAGAGAGAGAGATGCTGCTTTAAAATCCATGGTCTTTTTTATGTATAGATAATTTTGTTGTAGAGAACACTTCAGCTTGGGGAGAAAACCAAGCCTATAAGACCAAAATAGATACGTTATGCAGAAAATTTTTTTTTCGAAAATATTCTTGTACAGAGAGTCCACCTGTGCAGGACTCAACCATGTCCTGATAGTAGCTTTAGAATGACTGTATAACCTTTCCAAAATAAAAATTATATAGTAGTACTGTATTCTCAAAATTAGGTGGAGGCTTGAGAAGTATTCTCATGTCAATGCATAAAAAAAGTTCACATGCAAAGCTAATCCTCACTGATTCGTCTTGTGTTCGGCATACCATTCGAATTGATAGTTCGATACCACCGTTGGTGTGATTTTGCGCGTACAGTACTGCTCTTATTATTTTTTCACAAGTATCAAACTTCGGTACTTCCCTGTTATCTCTGTACCTACTTTCCTGTTATCTCTGTACCTACTTTCCTGATATCTCTGTACCTTCCCTCTGACCAATTTAACCTGACCTAACCTAACTTTACCTAACCGCCTCCCAAAATCAGTTTCAGAAGAATGCGGAAAAATAAAATTCACAGTTTCTGGTGGATCATCGTGATTATGAACTCGTCCTAAAGATTTGTCTGGATGGTAGTGCGGTCTTGGAATGAGGTACAGAGATAACAGGAAAGTACCCAAACTTCTCTTAATTTTAGTGAATTACTCTCGGTCATCCGGAATGCCTGAAATAATGTTAGTAAAACTCGCTTTTCTTCTTTGAAAGAAATAAGAAGCTGAAAAATTCCTCTTTCGACGGTTTCTTTAGTTCGAACTCAGTTACTGTATGTGAATGGGTAATGTCTGCTGCTATATAGAGAGCAAGAACACTTTTGATTGCTATCCCGCGGAATAACATTTCTCTCGATTGATCTGAAGGAGTACAATGCCAGGATCGCTGCAATTTCTCGCCGTGTAACGGCCGACACTTCTCTCGTAATCTGTGCGCGGTTCTCATCTTCTGAGGAAATCTAAGGTTTTCCTGGAATGACTAGACCGTTCGTTCGTTCGTTCGTTCGTTTTCTGAACAAAGGTAGATTACGCTAGTTGTTCTGTCTTGATTCGAGTGATTTATTCCGCACTGTCCCTGGAAATTTGACGCATTACCCCAGCGCACTTATTCTGTCAAAATGAGCCGGACCGAATCGCACCACACCTGCGTTACCCTGAAAGTACTGTACTGTTCTCCGAGCGAAATATAATCGCCCTCGGATTTGCCCCCTGTAATGTCGAGACTTGGGATAAAATGAAAAAGAACCTGGAATTATCGAGTGAAGCTGATGCCTCGCTTTTTACGACCAGGAACCATTTATTCTTTTGTGTTTTGGTCTTACGGAGGCCAACGAACGTCTACCGAGAGAGAGGGAGTTTTTGAAGTGAACACCCCACCGATTATTGGCGAGAAATAGCGTGGATTTATTTGGCCGAGAAATTGTTCTGCTCGTGGAAGCAAAAGCTGCCATTTTGATATTCGTACGATTGAAAAATTCCACGTCGGCGTGTCGGCGCGTGCATTTTTTTTAGGTGCGAGTTAAATTCCCTCGCTTTTTGCCCTTATACTCTACTGTATTTGTGAAATTTAATTCTGCAGTTCTCGAGTTGCATATAAAAATACCGTATTTTCTAGAATCCCCCGAGCCCTCGATTAAGACAGGCAACCTATTTTTTTTTCACCCAAAATTTTGATGAAATTCTATCCCTGAGTAAGACGTGTACCGCATTTTTAGAGACTGAAAAAAAGCAATATTTCAAAAATACGAGTCACTAGAATTCGAATTTGAGCAAGAATCCAACCCGAATTCATTCGATTGTTTTGATTTTTTAAAAGTTCCTTTCAAAAATTTCCCATTATATTCAAAAGTGACGAGCACCTGAAGTCATACTATTTTTTTGAAATTTGTATCCCCGCCTATGACACCTCCCACAGGTGAACGTGGTATTCGAGGAAATACCGTAAAGTACTTTCATTTTTATATTATAGAAATAAGCTTTTCTGTATTTTCGTAACGCCGGATTATTTAGGTTGGACGAAAGGAAAGCAGTGGAAAGTGAACTCGTTTCTTCGCACCGAAGAAAAATTTCCCTTTCGTTCTCTTCGGTTTAATTTGAATTTTGATTCGAGATCGACTGCGATTTTCGGGTTCCTGCTGTTTGCATGCATGCGTCGACGGATGCGAAATTTGAATTTTGATGCTATGTTGATTTTTATTGTTTACTTTTGACAGACGACCGGGAATATATTGGACTTCTGCCTCGTGGGCTTGAAGATCTCGGGGATGACTCCCATAAGCGCCGACGCAGTGCTTCATTATACGACATCTTCCATTACATCCATCGCCATCACCGAAGTCCCCGTGGGTGGCCACACCGTCGCCTTTTTGGGAACGAGCGATGGCAAACTTAAAAAGGTACAGTGTGTGTTTTTTTTTAACGTATTTATTGAAGCTTATCCGAGTAAAATGCGTGTGTGTGTGTGAATGTATTAAGCCTTGGGCTTTTTTCGCTATGAGTTATCATTGTCTGAAGACAAATTTCTTTGATTAAAGTACCGTGATATCACTTGACTATTCCTTTTTTTTTTATCGAGGAAATTCGTTCTTGACTCACGTTTAAACTTTGATTTATCTGGTCAGCGTGCGTTCGTTTCATCGGGCTGAAGTTTTGATTTTTGCACGGGGAAATGTGGCCTGTATATTTTTACTCTATCGCTTTGTTTCTGTCCGAACATGTTGCGTACCATACTATAAAGTCTAGCTATCCAAGATTTGAACTACAGTTGATTCTTGAGCGTGTCAGTAATTTCACAAGATCATTGATCATTTTTCGTAGTGATTATTATTTTGTTATTTGAAAACATGTACGCGGTTATTAGCCCTGGTAATCAGAGTTTCGTTGTTCTGTGTGTGTCGTATTCATCCAACCTGATGTCAGGAAGTGTATTGCGCAAGAAAAAAAAAAACTCAGTTGTGTATTTTTAATGCGTAGAATGAGTGCACGATCTTGGTGAGGATGCGAGTGGAAGTGTGAAATAAGTTTTGGAGAACATGTACGGAAAGTTCACGAGAAGTTGTTTGAAACTGAATAAGATGATAGTTTATATGAAGTGCTTTAAAGCATTCTAGTGTCGCAATTCTTGTGTATGCATAAAGTACAGTACTGTACTTCACGAACAGATGGAGTCTAGAGTGACTCTGAGTCAAGTGTGAACTAACTTTGGAATCTATCCACGCGTAAAGAATTTGTCATTCGCATGGACGAAGTGAGACAATGTATCATGGATTGGATCATGAGTGGCTCTCAAGTTTCAACAGATTTCGACACATATATTCAACTTCATGATTTTGGGCTTGATTTTTGGTACAAGTGCGTCGAAGAAAAGCTTGCCAATTTTGTGGAGCTTTTCAAATTTTTTCTTCAAAATGAAAGAGGAAGACTAGGAGTTTTGCTCGGATGCCGTATCAATCGTTCTTAATGTACTGTAGTTCGCTTTCGTTCGTGCAGACCTATTTTTCACTCGAGATTAATGATGATCTTTCCAATGTTTTACCTTTTTGATCGACGAAAGGATATTAAATTTATCCTCGCCTTAAATTCATGTTTTTCATATCTTTTAATATCAGTAAAAGCACTTTATATTGAACTCTATGGACTTGGAGAACACTTTTTTGCATTATAATTCATAATTGTAAACAAAATTTGGAGTGAAATTTTGTTTGAATGAAGTATTAAATTTCAAGACTTCAACAGATGATTCAAGACTTGTCATAATTTCCAAGTCTCTCTGATGAAATGAAGAGGAATATTTTAAAATTCATAGTAGCCCTCTTTTGTTGAACCTGAATTTCTACACTAACGTACTGTTTGTCTTGAAAAGTGAAAAAGTAAATGTGGGAAAAATGCAGTATTTCGTATTTTCGTCCCAAATCAACTTATTCGTTTATACCTGATGTTTTCTTCAAATAAAGCATAGGAAAATTTGTTCAAGTTAAATTTTATTTGTAAGGAAGACACTCAATCTCGGATGGAGCTAGAACAATTTCAAGAAAAATCTTTCCTCTCGTTCATTTTTGAACGCTACCGTTTCTCTACAGTTAGTTTTGCCTCTTTGATGAAGCTGGAATGCTGCATCAGTTCCATTCTTACAATTTTTCTGCAATTTATTAAATGATCTCTAAATTCTTTGTATTGAATGTACAGCCTAATATGAGTTTCTTTGAAACGATATTTTTATATCATGGCTCCTATGAGGAGAAACTTCCTGTACCAAGACGAAATTCGTGACGACATTCCTTGTGACCGAATTTCACTATACAGTACTGTAATGTTGGTAATCAAATTTTTCCCGTCTTGAAATTCGTGTCTCTCCTCGCTTCGACAGGTGTTGTTGCAAAGTGGCTCCGAGGCGAAAGAGTACGAGGAGGTGGTGTTGGACCCCGGTCAGGGCATTATTCCAGACATGGCATTCGATTCCTCTCACGGATTCGCCTACATCGCTTCGTCTCGGAAGGTTTTCCGAGTGAAGGCGGAAAACTGTGCCAAGTACACGAATTGCTCGTCGTGTCTGGAGACGGGTGATCCCTTTTGCGGCTGGTGCTCCTTGGAAAAACGGTCAGTCACTCACTCACTGATGAATTTCTCCAACCATGCGTCCCTTATCGTGCCCGAATTTCATCACAGCTTCAGAGAGTTGTCAATCTTGTCTTGTCATCTTGGAAGGCTGTAAATTTTATTTTTTCAGGGATTTAGAATTCCTTTTTCGGCGCAACGCCAAAACAATTTTTTTTAAATGCGAAACGCGATTTCCCTTAGCGTTGCATTAGAATTAGATGAACTACTTATTTCGCTCCATATGCTCAGCAAAAGATCGTAAAAACTTCGAAAGCTGTATGTTTTTTAGTTTTCATCAGGAAGTTGTGAATTTTAAATTGAATAACATACAATTTTGGTAATCATGGCAAGTCGGTTCTCTGAACTTTCTGAATTTTATAGAAAAGAAGACGCGAAACGGTGCCTTCTATCGTTTCTTCTTCGTTTTTTGAAGTTCTGTGAGTTTGGTTGAAATGTGAACTTTTTTTTGCCCAGGAAATTCGTTTTGTGAAAAATGTTTGTTCCGCCAGACTCTTTTTTCCTATTGGAAAAGTTCATGGACATTACTGTACATGTACTGTATTAGTTTCCTGATCAGAATTGTTGGATGATTCAAGAACCGTAAGAGTAACTCATGAACACATAACGCTAATTATCTTTTACGGTAAGCTCAGGGGATAATCTTGAGTGCTTTGAAAAATTGACGTATGTCGTATTCAGCGATGCCGTAGGGTTATGTGACAACTTGTACAGCAACAACTCACACAGTTTTTTTCCACTAATTTTTCTTTTTTAATTTATGTCCTGGAAAAAATGTACATTTTATTGCATCTTATATTCTCCTTTGTCCTAAATTAATTGCATGAATTTACAAAATGGGGTTTGAGAACATAACATTTTTAAAAATACTTTTCAATCTAGTCAATGATTATTCTGATGCATGCTTTAATCCATGTTATTCCTAGGAATTGAGCCCCCAGTCATTTTTATGGCTCACAATTTTCACAGGGATGTTTGTGCGATGTTCAGTCTATGGACAAGAAATCCAAAATATTTTATTTCAAAATTCTGCAATTTTATACTTAATGTTTTTTATTATTTTCTTTTTGCCTGGGGGTTATTTGAATAGTTACGTACTTTTGTTAATCTCTGAGCCGGGCAGTTGGGAAGCATTTCCTCTCCAATCTGATAAAAGTTGGGCCCAAGGTATTCACTTTTCAATTCATCTGGTCTTCAAAATCCAAGGACTCCCACCTTCTCTGAATGCCATACAACTGATATGAAAGACCACCTCAATTTCATTTCACAATCATTTTTAAAGAACCCCTCTAAAACCATTGGAAATCCATTGTCCAATCAATGATATTTACATCAATAACTGGGTGGAAAAATTGCTGTGAGCCATAAAAATGACCAGGGGCTCAATTCCTAGACAGAACATGGATTAATGCATGCATCAGAATTATACTTGACTAGATTGAAAACACAAGTACAGTATTGACAAATTTAGGATGAACAGAATCCTGTTCCTTGGACAAATTTACCGTGGCATTTTTTATGTTCTCAGCCCTTATTTTTTAAATGCATACAATTAATTTAGGATGAAAGAGAATCTAGACACAAAAAGGGTATAAATTTTTGCCAGAACCTAAATTTAAAACAAATGAAAAAATAAGGGGAAAAAACTGTGTGAGTTGTTGCTGTGCAAGTTGTCCTGTAATCATGCCGTAGTGCGTATAAAAATTCCAAATACAGTACAATACTGTAATTTAATGAATTTTAGAAAATTGTTTCAGTGTTGTGGTCAACATCTGTTTTCCTTTCGTGCGGAAAGTTTCGATCATGTGCAATTTGTACGATTCTTTGGAGCGTTTAGAATTTCATTTTGGCTGTAAGCAGAGTGTCTCCATTCCGAGCAATACAAATCCAATCCTCGTGTTGTTGAATCCTTTCAAAAAGAGACCCCGAAAAGAAACCCGAGGAGAAACAGGGAGCTAGAATTTATATATACTGTATTTTTTGCGGGTGGAACGAGTTGAGTGCGTCGGAAATCTTACAAGAACCCTCGTTCAGTTGCGTCCAAAGAACTAGACGAGACAAGCTCTGGTTGGGCTGCCTCATTATAAGTGGGAGATGTTTTCTACCCTTGCACCCTGCCGGGACAGGGTTTCCCCGCAAAATTACTGGGGATAGCGAAGGTTCTACGGCGGTCAATAGGAGAACGTTCGGGAAAGGGGGGAAATTGCTGGGTAGGCTTCGTATGTGTGCCCGGCACAATTTGTGGCCACTCCGGCGGTGTTCTCTCTGCTTGAACGGAAAATTTATGGATGCAAATTTGATTCGCAGGAGGTTCGTTCTCGCTGTCGAGGAGAGCTTCGCCCCGTGCGGTCCCTGCAGTTTGCGTTAAACGCCGTCTTCGAATATTTTTTGTTTTGTTTTTGTTTTACGTTTCTGGGATTTAAACATAATCGTACGTGTTTGTTATTTTTCGCTCGATAGCGAATTGCGAATTCCTCTGCGAGCGATCTACTTGCATTTTTGCATTCCTTCCGCCTGTTCGCTTGCTCTCGCGAAATTCCGCACGCGTTGTAAAATTTAATTCATGTTGCCGATTTCCTTGAGTTGAACTGGAAGTAATGCACTTGTACGTGCGAATGGTCAACGTAATTTAAATAAAAGTGGATGGCATTGATCGACTAACGTGGAAGAGAATCCGATTATTCAAGTTGAATGATAATCAAGGAATTATTTGCTAGAGAAAATGTCGTTCAAGAAATGCGAGAAAAAATGAAACATTGCCGTGGAATAATATCCCTGACATCGTCGCGAATGCCGAGTACATTAGCCCGAATAATCCGTCACAACATTGCGGGTAACCCCTTTTTCCGACGATCTTTTCTTCCCCATGCAAATCAAATGACATCCCTTCAACATCCGTCTATGAATGCAGGGCTTTTCAGCGAGTGGTACTCGTAGGTAAAGGGAACACTCGAGTGGTACTTGAGCTTTTGCTTTGATGAACCTTGGCTTTTGAAGGATTGGTATAAAAGTTGACAAATGAATCCTGAGTAGGGGGGACGGATCCAATCAGAATGCGACCCTGTGAAGGATAATGTTTGAAAATACGGATGATGTATGCGTTGAATAATTTGTAGTTGATCCACGTCAAAGCCATAATTGGTACTGAGGAAATACTGTCAAACCCCTCTATATGGCGCCACCCTTGCATAGTGTCACACATTTCCCTGGAACAAATCTCCCTCTATGCTGTTCTTACGGGAAACCCCGATTTAGTGCCAATGCACTTCGTGCTGCTAAAAATGTTTTCCCTTAATGAAAAGTGGGCCTAAATCAAATAAATTGAGGTTCCCTTCTAGTGATGTACAGTAATTGGGTTATTGTTGAGAAGCACATGTCCACGCTAATTTTGAAAATTATATTTCTGGATGCACGTGTAATTGAGTGGTATTATTTGGATGATGACCTCCACAGTTGAAAGCATCTCCATAACCGGGATAGTCTCTTTAAAAAAAAAAAAAAGAGACTAAAAGTCACGCTTTCTAATCTTGAGATTTGTGGACTGTTATTGAAAGGATGCTACATAACATTGAGAAGCAGCTCTTCTCTTTTACTGAACACAATTTTTGCGAAGATTCATTAAATTCCGCATCATTGAATAAATTTAAATACAGTATAAAAACAATTTTGCATTATGAAATATCGTGTGAGAAACAGTTTATTTGAGAGTTCTTGTGGCTTTCTTCATTAGACTTAATAGCCTAATAAAGATCCCGCAAACAAGCTTATTTTGCCTATAGGAGAAGCCCTAAACTAAGCATTCTTCTGATAGAATATTCCCGATGTAAAGCACGTGTAGTACCACACTTGCCTAATTTTTTCAAGGGCCTAAGGTCCCTTGAATATGAAGATGAAATTCGATTGCATGTATAGATTGGGTTAAATTATAGGTTTTTTATTAAATTGCATATATTTCATTGAATTATATACGGTATAATGTACTGCATTAATTTACCAATGCAGTACAGTATATTGTTTTTAAACTAAGCTATCACAAAATGATCCGGAACAAATGATGGCGCTAAACTGGGGTTTGACTGTACTGTATTGTTCGGTATTTTGCTTGCCTTGCCAGGGGTACCCTTTGAAGAAAAAGAAAAGGTCCGAATTCCCTGATTTCGTGGACGTCGAGTTTGATCTCTTTAAAATTCTTCATTCAGTGAATATTTCTTCTGTATTTTTTTGCTCAGGCCTTCGAAGTGTGCTTGAATTTGACTCGCCTTCTTTTTCTTTCTCTCCACAGGTGCACATTACGAAGTGCGTGTCAAAATGCGACTCAGGCGTCACCGAGATGGCTGTCATTCGGCGTGGGGCAGCAGTGCATCGATTTCGAGCAAATCGTGCCCGACAGGGTATCCATCGACCAGTCAGCGACGGTAAGGAATGTTTTCCTATTCTCAGAAGAGGGAAGCTACGTAACTGCTGCTGCGTGCTTGTTAGGGAACTTGACTGAGCGTTTTGATTCCAGGGACGATCGCGGAGAGAGGGGGGCCAAATATAATAGAATGAATGAAGGAACGAGAAGATATCGGTTGAACAAAGGGTTCGAAGTGATCCTGATGAGAAGGGTGGGGGGGGGGGATTATTAGGCTCGTGTACGTCTGGCGCAGTCGTTCGTTGACCAACTGAGTGAATTTCTCCGCACTGTAATCAAATGCCGGGTGGGAATTACTATGCGAGGCCGCCGCCGTCGGAATAATCACGGGGATGTTTTGGCGTTCCGTGGGTGCGAGCGGCGGTCAATACATCATTCTTTTTGTCAAGAGCGGAGCCCAATTTCCAACGAGCTCACGGCTATTATTACTCCGCCTTGTGCTGTCATACATGTTCAAAGAACAGGACGCTGATGTCCTGACGCCTCGTTTGTTAACGCCAACCTCTGTGCTGCCTCGGCGGAGCCTTGTGGCGTGGCGGGCCACACTTTCTCTCGCATTAAAGCGTGCGCGACGAGGGGTTCTTCACAAGCTCTATGTATGTGTGTGTGATGGATCTCACTTTGCTTGCTTGCTTGCTCACTCCCTTCCTTTATCCCTTCCTTCCATTTGCCATTGATCCGACGTATCTCACTGCAACGAACACAACGATTTAAGTCTACGGAGTTCATGTTCATGCTATACATACGCAGTAAGGCTAGGCTTCATATGTACCAGTCAGTATTTTCTATTCAACTCTTTCCCCTTTACAAAGGATGCTTTTCAATAGGATGTGCAAACGCTTTATTTTTGTGTCATTCATAAAATGTGGACTCATTGGTTGTGGGGTTTGTTGGTGACAATCCCGGCAAAGGAAATAAATAACATTGGCAATCAGCGGTTTGTGGCCAATAAAGAACATGTATTCAAGGGGACATCTTGAACACATGTTTCTAGTTATGTCGTATGAATTCATTTATATGTGTGTGAAAGGTACAAGGTCACATTTACTGGAAAGTAGGAAATTCGACATTGTAAAAATTAACGCTCAAATGGCAAAGAAGGAATTTCTGCACAAATACAACAAAAGGGAAAGAAAATTAGAGAGGTAAAACTGGAATGCAGGTGAACTCACTCTACAATGAAATTGAACAGACCAGGAAAATGCATTACACAGAGGTTTTGTTGTAGAGAACCCTTGTAACATGTGGAGAGAGCCCAATAGGACCAAAAAATTAAATTTGTCGTAAAGAGAAAATTTAGAAATTTATGGAGAGATTCCACCTGTAAAATAGTTGTGATACAGTACTCCGATGAAAGAGTGATCAGAGAGGAGTGGAAACCATCGCTGGGCTTTTCCCAGCGTTCTTGCTCCACCAACAGGAAGGTTACATGAAGTAGGTTTGACATACAGGTATAGTACATACCATTATAACTGAACTACTATATGGCCTCATTCTACCTAAACCAAATGAACCATTTAAATCTCTCTTTACTTGGCTTCACCAGATCAAGCCTTCTAATACTGTTCAGCACTCATATTCTAAATATTCTTCGAAATGTCTCTAAAAAGTTGCTGTGACATTCTCGTTAACTCAACTAACTTAACCAAACCTGAACTGAAAAAACTTCAGAATATAACTCAGCCTATGTCAACTTCGCATCTACTTATCTGCGTCATACATGTAATCAGATGGATTTTAAACCTGACTGAACTAACGTTGCACTAACCTTACTTATAAGTTATAACCTACTTGGGCTAAAACTTGATTCACCACATGAATTGCTGAACTAGACTAAGCTAACAGAAAGTTACCTGGAGGAAATGTAGATTTTATGACTGGTTTCTTGAAACTCTATCATACGTGAGTTGAGCAGTAAAATGTTCAAGTAAAAAAGCACGTAGTATAATATAATACTTTACCCACATGAAACATTTCTTACCTAGAACTAACCGAACTTGATGCCCAAATCTAAACTCCTTGAATGAAGTTTATCCTCTTTAACCTGAAACAACATTTACTCCTAGTTTTTCTGGGTGACAGATGGGCAAATTAATCCAGGAAGAATATTGTATCAGCTGTAATAAAATATAAACAGTCGCTCTTACCCCTTCAGAATACTGAGCGCTTTTAGAAGAAAATACTGTACTATTGATTGTAGCTATATGAGGAGAAAACCCAAACCTTACGGGTTTTTCTCAATTGGTTGGGAATAAACCAATGTTTATTCGACTGGTCCTTTGATGCGGATAATTGGATTCTGTTCTCATCACTTCGGCTTTTGTCCGCGAGAGATCTATTTTTGTCCATCTACACATTGAGGGAAAGGGCAGTTCGTGAATATCTTCATTTGTCTCTTATCGAATTTCTCGCCAAAAAATACAACGTTGTCTTGGACAGGTGATCTAAAACTGCAGTGAGAAGTGAAAAAATGCAGCCGCTCTTGCTCATCTTTGCTTCAACCCCCCCACAAAAAAAGTTGGTTTAATCTCCTGTTCGCCTAGGGTTGCAATTCCGCATTCGAGTTGATCACTTCCTGGTCGAGTTTTCGCGGTTCTCTAGTCTAGTCTAGTCAAGTGGGTGAAGCATGCGCCGTGTTGGTGGTGGAAAAAAGGATCTCTCTCTCTCTCTCTCTCTCCCGTGGTGGCGGCAAAAAGCTGCGAAAACTTGGTGAAACGACCCTCGTCCGCGTTGTGGGGAGTCGAAAATAATAAGCTCTTTGTGCGTACCATTCCCTGCCGGGGCAGAGCCAGAGAGAGAGAGGGGGGGCATCGCTTCAATGTCAGGCACGGACAAAACGGCTGCATTCAATTAGACTGGCTCGTCTAATGGCATTACACGGAGACTCTTGCGAGAGAATCCACCGCCATCGATGCCGCTGTAGAGAGAGACTGGAGAGAGAAAATATCCCAGCGCACTGTTTTTGGTTTTGTTTTCGGCTGTGTATACTTTTTTATTTATTTTTTTATTAAATTCGTTGGTAAAAGAGAGGATTGTTTGTGGGTAATGCGTTCTTCGCTTTAATCGAAAAACGAGGGGGGGAAGGATGCATTTTATGTTCTCGTTAACCGTGTCGCGCGTTGTTGCAAACCGGCTTTTCATAATTCCAAGGTGGGCTTGATATGCAGGAAATGCGGGAAGAAGGAAGAGGGGTCACGGTAGTTTTTCTCGTTTGACGCTGGGATCTGTTTATTTATTTTTATTTTTTTGCTGGAAATTTCGATTACTGAAGATTTATCACGCCCGGTGGAAAATTAAAATTGGAGTGAGGTTTTCCAGCAGGTTTTCCCCTCTTTTTTTTTTCATCGGCTCTCGGGAACGAACGGGTCTGCGGAAAATACCGAGAGCCGGATATCCTGTGGCTCTTAACGATATGACGGATGGCCTGTCTTTTGTGCAGTGTTTGCTGCAGCTGCGTTCTTGAATCGGCCGAAAGTTTAATGCGTATTGGGGGGAGGGGAACATGGATGTTATTGTACTGTACTGTACTGGATGGCGAAGGTTCAAGAAATGCTGGATTCGGTATATACTGTATATTGCAGTAAAATCTCGTTATAATGAATTATTGTCTACAACTAATTTGCTTTTTGGTCCGTGCCCGATAGCCACAATGTTATTTTAATTTAGTTTGTACGAGTTTTCCTTTATAACGAAGCTTTTTTAAGGTCCCAAATGCTTCGTTGCGGCGAGATTCTACTGTATTTTTTGGGTGGAGTCTCGCTACAACGATGTTGTCTAGGATTTTTTTTTTGTATACAGTAAAATTTCGTTAAAACGAACTCCCAGGGACCTAATTACAAATTCGTTATAACCAAAAAATTAGTCGTACTGAGATTCATGGTTTTTATCAAATTTAGATGGAATTCCCAAGAAATATGTTAGTTTGCGTTTTTTCTTTCAGCACAATCGTTTCTCTAGAAAAAGTTTTTTGGTTCTTGGAAGAAGATGGAATCTTGCTCCACTTCAATTTTTCCAATTTCAGCCATTCATTAAATAATCCCTGCGGCCTATGCATGAAATCAGGGCCACAAATTCGTTTTAATGTACTGTACTGAGATTACAGCCTAAAAATGAATTGGTTAAAATGAGATTTGTATGAAATGGCGCCTATTGGAAAACTGCCAGGACCCAAGAAAAAATTCGGTAAAAGGAGATTCGTTGTAACGGAATTTCACTGTATAACGAATTTTCTGGACCCCTGGGGTTCTATCTCCATGTTATAAAGGTTTTCTGCAACTAATTTCTCTCTACGATTTTTCTGGTCCCTTGAATTTTGTTGCACAGAGATTCCACCTGTTTATGATACAGTACAGTTGAACCTCAATAACTCGAAACTTCCGAATTCAAATACTGTACCTCCATATGTCGAATTTATTTTTGTTCACGTCTCGTAGAAACAATGCATTTGAAACCTCCCGAACTCGAATGCTTTTCTCCTCAAACAACCATAACTTGATCTTTCTGGACGCCTTTTGGATAATATTGTATTGACTCATGAAAGGGAACAGCGATAAAAAAAATTTTATTTGATGCATTTTGAGAGGAAAGTGAAAGATTATTCAAGCGAATAAACACATGTCTCCAAGTTCGGCATCCTGTCAACTCATTCAAGTAGCAATTTGAGGCTTAGAATATCATCAATTCTGCACAATCTCCTGTAACTCCTATCGGATTCCCCCAACAAAAATTATTGTTTCCCACATGTCGAATTGTTTTTTTTAGGTCTCTTGAAGTTCCACTTTGAGAGGTTCGACTGAATTTATCTGGTTGAGAAACGTTTGTGCTGAACCGCCTCGATCGGAAGACGACGGATAATTTTAATTCGCGATTTATTGCGGACGATTTTGGCCAGCGGGAATAACTATAAAATGCAATGAACTTGGCAGTTTTGATCAAAGCTTTCCCGTTCGTATTAACTTATATCTTGAAAGGGCTGTAAAATTATTGTTTTTTTTTAACATGTCACGGTGAATTTAAGATGGAGGTAATCTCAGAGCTCATCGTTCTCATCTGCGTCGGAATCCGGTTTAATTCTTTTTTTTTTCTCATTTTCTGAAGTTCGTTTGGTACCCCTCCATTTTGCCGAGAGTTTCATTTCTGAAGTACGGAGGATTTCCCGTTATTTTTTTATATCCTCGTGATTGAAAAGTTTATGAATCGCTTCGTTTTCGAACGTATCTCTGAACTTCGGTTTTTGTTCTTGTCACTTGTTGCGGAATTCCTGATGGATAGATGCTTTTAATCATGGCATGTATTTGATTCCTACGTGGATTTCACTTTTCCACGAGAGTAATTGTTCTCTTGTCGACGTACCACATATACAATACATTTTACCTTGAAAAATGTTACTTGTTATCGTTGGGTTTTGGAAAACACGAGAAACCGTGGGCTGAGAAGCGTTCTACAGATACCGAACCCCTCTTCGCCTTCAGCATCTTCTCCGCAGAACAAGAATAGCTTTCTCTCGTTTCGCCGAGTTCGCTCTTGGGTCGCCGCAGGAGGTAGGAAATTTGATGCGGGGCGTTCCAGGTGAAGCCGATATTAGAATAAATGCGCAATATTGCGGTTGCGACAGCATCTGGGAAATTTGAGGGAGCTTACGTCCGTTTGGAACGCAGTTGTGTAATAGGACATCATTCGACGGGATCGTTGTTACCTCAGAAAGTTTATTACGTTACGTCTGGAACGGCTTCGAGAATAGGTAGGAAGATGTGCACACTCGAACCTCTTCGAGTGGAGACTTCGAGGGACGAGTGAAACAAAAACAAACCAAAAAACTCGAGCTGGGGAGGTTTCGAGTTTTGTAATCGAGCATTTTTGTTGGGGTAGGGGAAATAATTACAGTACAGTACAGTAATTGTAATCGGGGATATTCTGGGCTTCAAATTGCTTCTTGAATGATTTGACGGGATGCTGAACTTGGAGGCAAGGGTTCATTTGTGAAATTTTTCTTTCACTTCCTCTCAAAACACACCAAGTTACATTTTTATTGCTTTTCTCTTTCCTGTATGAATAAAGTAAAAGCCGAAAGTCCTTAAGAAAATACGATTTATGGAAGTTTAAGCGAAAGCCTTTGAGTTAAGGAGGTTTTTAATTTATTGTTCCTGAGGGAATTCAGAGAGGGACCTGAAAAAGACTCGATACCTGGAAATATTCGAATTTGGGAGGTTTAAACTATCCAGGTTCAACTGAATTTTGAATTTTCTTGCTGTGTCTTGCGGGACATCAAAAGTAGAAAAAAAAATATTTCTTGCATCATGAGCTTTTTTGAGACTCGAAAGTAATCAAAATTAGCTTTACCGAATTTCGTCCTGATTTTTTGCATTTTTTACGCTAGAAGCAAACCTATGGTCATTTTGGTTGAGAATTTCCTGGAATGGTAGCCTTGATTTTGAGTAACTTCCTGTTCAGCTTTTACAATTTTAGACCGACTTTCGAATTTAACGGAAGCATTTTCAAGATCAGGCGTTTCGTTCAGTATTTGGAGTTGGTATTGGAGCTCGGACTGAATTGTTCACAAGTTTTATTTATTTATTTTATTTTTATTTTTTGGTGCACAGGGAAGTATTTGGAGTGTGGGTATTTGCGCTTGAAGTGCATGCAAATTTACTAAGCTTCCAAGTATGATTCGAGAACCTGATAATTTTTTTCCCTCGGGGATCAGATTTACTTCTGCGCTCTCTTTCTGTTTAAACTAAGTGTGCAGATTGTTGAAGACTTGTGAGGAAATTATCACGCTTTTTGTCTTCACGGAAGTAAAAGAACTCTGCTAAATATCCTCATTTCTGTCCATCCGCTCTGATTCGAACGGACGAACATTTTATGAACTATCGCTTTCATTTCCCTGTCCATCAGGAATGATCGGAAAATTGAATTGATCATGAAAGCGGAATATACTGTATACTGTACTCAAGAAAGGGAATGATGATTGAACAAATGAGTCGGGTTTTCGAGTAAAACGTAAGAGTTTTCATCACGTGCAACGTCTCGGAAACTCTCGCTTGGTTTCTTCCATCTTCCGGGAGATTGAGATTCAAATCTTACTTTTTGGTCTTTTTCTGTTCAGGTTCAGCTGACGATACGAACGTTGCCGGTGCTGCCAGAGGGTGCCAAGTACCAGTGCGTGTTTGGCGGCCCATCACCCCTGGAGCGAATCGTGGTGGACGCCAACGTGACGAAGCGGGGCCTTGCTTGTGCCATCCCGGCGCCGGAGAAACGACCACAAATCCCGGCGAACGAAGACCACGTCATGGTCTCGTTGGCAGTTCGATCTTCGGAGACTAACAAGGACTTTGTCAGTCGACACCTGGCGTATTTTTCCTGCGATCAGCACAAGACCTGCATTTCTTGCGTCAATTCTCAGTGGCCGTGTTCCTGGTGTCTGTACGAGAATCGGTGCACGGCCAACTCAACTGCTCAAGCCTGTCCTAACCAAGCGCTGATCACGGGAATGCATGTCAGCTTTCTGAGTCTGTGGCAAAATGTGAGTTCAGTACAGTGAATTATTTTACGTATTTTATTTGTTGGTCCGAGTCCCTGAAAAAAGTACTGTAGCTTATTTCATATTGGAATTCAATATCTATATATTTATGTCTTACCTTTTCTTGATTGCAGAGACATGTTTGGTATTTTTGTCAATTCATTGCGCTCGTCCACTTGCAGTTGGTCGTGATCACTTCAGGTCGTAGCAGATCGACATTTTGATAGTTTTTGATTAATTGTTCCTTCGGTTGAGAAAGTTGTCGCTGTTCTGTGGTTGAAAAATACAGAATGCAGTCAAACTCTCTAAGTCGAAATTCAAGGGACCAGCAAAAAATTCAGTAGAGTTGGAGCAAACAAGCATTTGTGTTGGGGTATCTAATAAAGAATAGTTCGAGGAAATTCTAATTGGTGATATTCTTAGCCTTCAATTGTTTCTTAAATGAGTTGACAGGATGCTGAATTTGGAGGCAAGGATTCATTTCTCCATTAGTCTTGCACTCCCTGTCAAAACGCATAAAGTTACGTTTGTGTTACCTTTCTCTTTCATGTGTCAATGAAGTTATAGCCAAAATGCCTTCACAAAGTTCGAGTTACTGATGTTTGAGAAGGAAAGTCTTCTATTTAAGGAGGCTCCAAATGCATTGTTTCGAAGGGAATTCAGACAGGTACTATACGAAAATTTGACATACGGTATTCGAATTACTGAGGTTCGATTCGTCGAGGTTGAACTGTATTTCGTAATTTGATTATCTTTGACGAATTTCTTCCGTTGATAGATTTAAATGAATAAAAATGAATGTGGTCATGGTACCATTCTCTGTTGAATGTCATATTTCAACTTCTTCTGCGCTTTCGATTGCAAGGTTTTCAGTTACTCGCAATGTCAGCGAAGCATATTTTCAATTATGTTGAAATCGAAATGATCAAACGGTTTTCTGCCCGACGTATTTCACGAAGAGAGGCTTTATTCGTCCGTAAGAGAATATTTGATGGCAAGGACGTTTATGAGCTGAATGAGTGCAAACCTCAGAAGTCAGATGGGTTGAAATCTTTTCATGCGTGAACGAGTCGTGGAGGAGGACGAGAATTTTATTCGGTATTGTCAGTTCTATTTTTAAAATTGTCATCAGTCGTCGTCCGAAGAACGGCATCCAGTCGAAAAAGCTCGTAGACGAAGATTATTCGGGCGAAAATGACTCAGCAAAGATCTCCATCCCGTAGGAAAAGCAACCGAGAAGAAAGAACCCGTAAGAAAATTACACAAGCAGCGAATTCGTGCAGTTCTATGGATGCGAAGTTCAACTTATTTGCCACTCGTATTGTGATATATTTTTATTATACAGTATCCTCGGAACCAGATTCAATTTGATTGGAACTCATAGATGCAGAAAAGGGCTGAAAGAAACACTTGTTTGATGGAGGTAAACATTGGTTTAGGCAATGATTTTTGATCGATTTTCCCTCATACCACCGATATGTGGATCGATGCGAACGTTCTATTAAGAAAATCTATACGGTACAGTGTTATATTTTCTAGAAAAGCACAGTTTTTCAAGCCTGCTAAATCGTATGAAAAGGATAGAGAAGGAATATCTTGAATATACAGTGTAAAGGTTCAATTTGAAACAGTGTTCCCTGTCATGAATTTTGAAAAGCTCATAACACATTTTTTATTGTAACAAACTGTACTTGATGTTCTCACGAGTTTTTTTAAATGAGGTTTTACTGTATCCAGCGCAGTATTTACCCGTTTCATGTATTATGGAGAAAGGCCTGAGTGAACTTGCTACTACAGTACGTGCCATGATTCAAAAATGTTACATTCCTTTTTGAATGGATACAATATTGAGGACTTTTAAACGAGTACCATTGAATTTATTAAACTTACCCATGCGAAGTAATTAAGTTAGAGATAATGAACTGGATTCAGATGCTTTGTGACTTCGAATCAACTGATCATTGAGGTCTACCATTTTTCATTAATTTGTGCTTTAATACAATACGGTATTCGTATTCACTTATTATGTAACAGTTAAACCACTCTAAGTCGAATTTCAAGGGACCAGCAAAAAAATGAGACTTCGTGAGGTTTTGATTTAGGGAGATTTCAAGTTGGGGAAACAAGCATTTTTCTATTGGGAAACATCATAGAAGAATTGAAGGAAATTGTAAATGGTGATATTCTGGGCCTTGAATTGCTTCTTAAATGAGTTTACAGCATGCTGAACTTGGCTCATCGGCCCAATCAGTCTTTCACTTCCTTTCAAAACACAAATTTTTTTTTTTGCTTTTCTCTTCACTTCGTCAAGAAAATACTGTAATAGCCGAAAGGCCTTCGAATATTTGACCGACGGAGGTTTGAGTGGATAAGCCTTCGAGTTGGGGAGATTTTTAATGCATTTTTTCTAAGGGAATTCAGACGGAGACTTTGAGAAAATTCTATTTGAACGGGTATTTGACTTGGGGAGGTTCGAGGTACAGTATTGAGGTTCAACTGTATTGCAGTACTTACTCATGCATTTAGAATGTGAAAAGGGAAACATTTTTCTTCAAAGTCTCCTTCGTGATGCACCGGATGTAGAATCATCCTTGTGTGAGTTTTTTTTCGCTGGAAGTGAAAGAAAATTACGCAGGTCGCAAATGGGATTCCTTGCATTGATGGGAAACACGGTTCGAGGATTTGCCATTTCTTCCGCTTCGATCTTGTGTGTCATTCTATTGAGAAAATTCATTAGATGAGGAAATGCGCAAGTCGAGGCATAATGGAAACGTCCCGGATGTTGTTTCCGATTGCCACAAAAGGCCCGCAGCGAAATGATGTTTCCTCTTTGGTCTCTCGTTTTTTATTATTCTCTGTCTTCTCTTTTCATTTGCAGAATAAGCCATCGCATATGATGAACAAGGGACCTCAGCACTGTCCTAGGTTCGCCATTCAGGGTACTGGGAATGAAAAATTGCTGCTGCCAAACGGGGTTCCCAGCGAAATCAAGCTGGAGGTGCTCAATCTGCCGACTCCGCCTAATTCTGGCAGCTATGGTTCCGGGTTGCTGTTTCACTGCCTGGTTACCATCGAGGGGGCGAAGATGAGGGTTCCCGCGAGGGTCGAAAACAACCGCTACGTTATATGTGAAAGAACTATGGTAAGTCTTGTCATGAAGTCTACGTTGTGCAGTACTTATTTAGGGTGTCCGAAAAGCTACTGTCCACTATGAGTCACTTCGTAAGACGTGATGGTATAGTTTCCTAATTTTATTCAGTAAAATTCCTTTGCTTCGAATCGCGTTATAACGAATTGTTAAGTTCTCTGTCCCGGCCGTTTCTTCATAAAAACAGTTTCGCAGAAAATTTTTATAACGAACTAATTTTCCTCCATTATCTCAGTACTTCTATAACGAATTTTGGCCTTGATTATGTATGCATAGGCCATAAGATTTCTACTCTTTGGCACAATGTGGGAATCCCAACTTGTGTATGATCAAGAAACCTTGAAAAAATAATAGCTAAACTTTTTAAGCAGAAAAATTAGCATTTATGGAAGTATAAAACTTGAATCAAGATGTATTTTGCTTTTTCTCTAGAATTAAGGCATGGTTAATTGTTTGAACGAGAAGTACGTTCGGAAAGATATTGTTTTTTCATGGATTTTAAAATTGCAAATTAATAAATTTTCTGCTTACACTCGTTTTTTTCTTTTAGTTTCAGCTTAAACTTCAGTAAGATTGTTATTTTTCTCAAGAAGGAAAAGGTCCGAAGTAAAATCTTCGTACAGTATTTCACATTCTGATTTTTTTTTAAATAAATTCATCAAAAGGATTTGGAAATTCGGATAATTCTTCACATATCTGTTGCGGAAGTTCTTAATTATCTACAGTATTATTACCTGTTTCCAAGCTAAATTTCAGTCCTCCATGCTTGAACCGGATATCTCATTATGGCGAATTTTTTCTCAGGTCCCTGGGAGTTTGTTATAACGAGATTTCACTGTATTACAATAAAGAGATTTTTGTGCGTGTTTTTAAAATGTCATGGGCAGTCGATATTGTTAATCATTTTTAAAGCCATTCTTTGGAAGATCCATCTGGGTTTCTCATCTGCGCAAGTGAACTTTTACGCATAGTTTGTAAAGAAAATTTTATTTTCGTGTGTAATCTTTGTGAGATCATGTGGAACATACTTTTTATTCATTTTTGCTTCAGGTAGAAGATATTTAGAATTATTGTCGCATTCCTTCCAAGATCCTTTCAACCAAGATTTCCAACGCGTCAGGTATTCTGTTTTTTTTCCCGCTCAATCACTCATGTAATGGTAATATCAACTTTTCATTAGCAAACCCGAAAGTGTAAAAGCGCAGTAAAAGTTTTTCCAACGAGTTTAAAATACTGTAACGCGTTTTCGCGGGTTATTAATCCATAAAACCACTTTTGCGAATCGTAATAGACCCAACTTAGCTTATCGCGGGCCGGAACGATGTTGTAAACTCTACCCAGCGACATCATGGCTAATCGATTGTGTTCAAAGAGAACCAGGTTTGCTTCATTTCTAGTGTTCAATTATTTTTCGAATCACTGCGGTGATGGAGACGTTATCTGGGTACTGTATCTGTCTGGTTTTCTCATCTGCGTTCCAAAAGCAACTATGCTTTCGGAACGGGAAAAAGTATTAGTGCAAAAATCGTAGGTGTTCAAGAACTCTGATCTGCCATATATGAGCATCTTTTCGTGATTTGTTTTTCAGCCCTGCCGTTTTGATATCCTATTCTGACCAGGCGAAATAATCATTTTCGTGTTGTGAAGCGTCGAGAATGGTGTTGAGCACTTTTAACAATGTCGAATACGAAATTTGTTTGATAAGACCGACTTGTTCTTGCTGTTGTGTAGCCTGAAGACTCTCCTCACATAGTGTAGGCTGAAAGATTCGCTGCGACTTGATGCGGTGAGCTGCGCAGTAAAATCTCGTTACCACACACTTTCGGGGATTCAACAATAAAAAAAAAACCTGAATACATGGTTATGACGAGATTTTCGAAATTGAGGACTTGTAAAAAATGTTCACATCAGATCTGCGTATAATCAATCAGATCTTGCATTTTTGGCGTTCTCAGATTTTATTCTTGTTCGAAAAGCTGAGCCATCAGAAAAAAAAATTTATCTTCGATCATTCCATCAGTTGCATTCCATGCATTCCTTCAGTTGCACCAATCTCTTCATTCTGGAATGCTGATGTGAAAATCTCTTAGTTCTTGGAGGATGTTGTGTGGAATCACTTATCAGAAGAAAGCGTGTTTGTCATTGATTACAGCCTCCATCCATGCGACAAGAGCCAGTCAATCAAATTTTGAATTCGAAAATTTAGACTGTGCTTGCTTGCCTTAGTCAGGAAATTTGTACCTGGAAAATCTGTTGAATGTACCTCGAAAAATGTCGTTACCCTGGAGTACGGAGGTTTTTTTGTAACGAGATAGTTTTAACATGAACCATAATATGGGCCTTGTGCTAGGTCTTGATAAAAATGTTGTTTTAACGAGATTTTACTCTGTAACTCGATTTTTTTTTCTCTTTTCATGAATTTGTTTTTGAGCAGTACTCGTTTGAGGCGGCTGTAGCAGAATACGACGCAGAGGTGACCGTTGTCTGGAGCGATAATCATCACGTGGACACCAGGCCGATGACTCTCTACAAGTGTTCCGTGCTGGGATCTCATCGCGACCGGGCAGACTGCTCGCTGTGTGTGACCAGAAACCCCGAGTACAGATGTTCTTGGTGTGATAATCAATGCGCCTATGCTGACACCTGCACGGGAACCCCAGTCAACTCCTGCCCAAAACCAGAGATACATGTGGTGCGTCCGAGTTTCTATCGTGTATCTCTCTCTTTCTGTCTTCATCTCTCGCTTTTCCCTGATTCGTTTAATCCAGCGAGTCGACGAGAAAACGGAAGTCCTTTTAAATTTGTGAACGACTATACGTAACGTACCTGTACACTTGAATTACCATACATGAGTGCCTTGTCCGCGAGGGACCGAGAAGTACAGTACAGTACAGTACAGTACAATATTTTACGGAACATTATTTTTCCCACTAATGAATGCTCGTGATCTTCTGTTGATGGAATGATGATCGGAGTTCCTGGGCTTGGGCTCTCGCTTTAAGTTTAGCACAGGTAATTACCTGGGGACTTCACGGAGGAGCTTTTCGACTATACAGTATAGTGGTTCACGTATTGGCATTACTGAGGTGTTACGGAACAACGGAAGGGGTATTATATTCCATGAGAGAAAAATTGACTCGTTGAGTTTTTTATGTGGATATCAGTGCACTTAACTTGAGTTTGTACGAGCTGAGGAAGCGATTTATGTATGATTATTTTAAAAATTGAAGCGTTTAACTTTTACCTCGAGTAGCGGTACGATGGTATTTTTAAATTAAGGTAAATTTCTAAATGCCATACAATTGCGGGCTAGGGAGGTTCTGACTAGGTGGTACAGTATTCGGTTTGGCGGTACACCGTTGAGTCGGATTTCAGAAAATTCGGATTTCAGACAATTCGAGACAGGGTGAATATGAGCCAAAACCTTTTCGAGGCAGGGACAATTTGAGACGGACACCTTTTGAGAGTATTGAGACACAGACATTTTGAGACAGAAGCATTTGAAAAATGACTGTTCTGGGTTTCTGCCTCATATCTTCTAGTGAAGGTGTGAAAATGATACAAAAAATTGCACTCTTTTTTCAAAAGTTGGGCTGATTTCATTTCTCACTGGAGACAGATATTGGAGTAAACGAGCAACGAGGAATCTCCTTTTAAGAAAGAACCAACTCTTCCTTGCTTACATCCATCCCTTGATCCATTGTAATATACTTTACAGTAATACAGTGTAATACACAGAGAAACACATCAGGCACATCAGAACATCCTTGTAAACTGCACGAAATATTCTCTTTTGGTTTGAAAATAAGTCCAAGAAACAAGTACACATATCCCTATACTGAAGAGTCACTTTCAGAAATTGTTCTTGTCTCTAAATGACCCCGTCTCAAATTGTCCGTGTCTGGAATTGTCCTTATCCCCCTTGAGTTGGTGCTCTAACACTGGGACAATTTACGAAAAAGATGAAAAGCCTTGATCTATGTTTATAATGAAGGGACAGAAAAATAAAGCGGGTTCTATTACACGGAAGAAATACAGAAATACTTACGGTTTTAAAGTCCGCCAGAACCAGAACAAAAGTGATGTGATTCAGAACGTCGGTATTTCTCAAAAATTTAATGAAGAAGATGCAATTTTAAATTTTTGATGTATGTCCCAGTTTCTGAGCTTCGTTTACTTTTTTTCTGCGTTTTTGGAAAAAAAATGAAAGTAAAGTTACTTCCTGTTTCGATGATGCCAATGACGCCCCGTGTGCTTCATTTCAGATAAATCCGTTGAACGGCCCTATCGAAGGTGGCACGCTTGTGACGATCGAAGGCAGCAATCTCGGACGCCAGCGGTCCGATATCGAAGGGAAGATCCACATCGGAAGGATCCCGTGCAAGGTAGTGGAGTACAAGGTGTCGAACGAAGTTGTTTGTCGGGCAGGCCCTGCCCCGGCTGAACTTGATGCCGCGATTGTTGTCGGGAATGCAGCCGGATTCACGCAGTCCGAAGTTAGGTTCTCCTATCGGGTAAGTCTGGGTTCCAACTCCGATGAACTTGGCTTATATGCTGCTAGAGTGTATTGTGTGGGGAGGTTGCCCTTGTGTTCCACCGCTTCCACCCTAACGGGCTTTGCTAGAATAGGTCTCTCTCTCCCCCAAATGAAAAGAGACCCGCGCCAAAAAAAGTCCCCGAGGTTGTAGGGACTGTAAGGCAGTCAACGGTGTGAGGAATTCAATTTGACTCACGAAGTTGAATGGCTAAACTGCTTTAAGAAATTTGTTGTTTGCAAAGAAGCTACGTGGAATAAATGAATAGAAATGCACTATCAGCCGGTCTGCGGCCGGGACTTCAAGAGTCTTAGTTTAATGTATTTCATAATAATGCTTTGTTAAATTACACCAAGTTTAAACAAGAAATTGCACTTTTGAATGGTCAAAAAATTCACAATCTTTTGCAAACAACAAATTTCTTGAAGCAGTTTAGTCATTCAACCTTGTGAGTTAAATTCAATTCCTCACAAACGGGACCAATGATGGGCTAGGAAGTGATGATGGTCAGTTTCATTTTGAAAATGTTTTTACTGCTTATATTTACAGCTGGAAAGCATCTCTGAGGCTGATGAGTGTTCAATTTTATGCGAATTATACATGCCATTTTCAGAGTTTTTTAAGCACTACGCTTGAGCCGAAACACAATATTCTACCCAATATTTCCAAGGAATGTAATACACGTGGACTATCTCTCTCTACAACGATTTTTTCTGTGTAACGAAATTTTTTGTGGTTCCAGAAGATTCTCTCCCCATGTTACAGGGGTTCTCTACAACTAAATTCTCTGTCGAATGAATTTTTTTCTGATTCCTTGAGTTTTGTTGTAGAGAGTCCACCTGTATTCCGAACGATTGACCAATATTTCTTAGGAGTAATGTAACGCATTTCTGAAAATGTGAGGCTTGTCTGATCCTTGTGTAACTAAATCTATTCGCTGAGTCGCTGACTGACCATCAGTCCCTCATCTGTTGGTCCCATGGGCCCACTTTCCCTTGGGAAATTTTTGTTGCGGGTATTTTTTCTACCCTGTCCCCGGGAACCCTTCTGGGTCCCTATTCGTTAGGACTTATCATCCGGGAGCGCTTTTAACATACCATGAACACATTTTCCCCTTGAATTTAGCAATGAAGAAATAGGAGCGATTTTGTTGTCTTGAACTTGGCATTTGAGTAATTACAAGCATTTAGCTTGCATTTTTGTTATTGTGTCTCTCATAAAAGTGCAATCAATTGTTGAGACTCAATATTCATGTAATATTTTTTCATTGCGTACGTTTCGACCTACTGGCAGTATTTCAGTAATTCAGAGCATTATTCAGCGTTACATTTTGTTATTGTGTCTCTCATGAGCTTTTGATTCGAAGTTGAGACTCAAATTGGGCAAGTTTCAAAGCTTTTCTGTTATCTAACGACGACATCTTTAACCGTATCGTTACGTTTTTGTGAGAATGATGATCTCATATTTCATGTGCTCGTTCTCTTTCAAGTTGATGCATCTTTTTGCCCGCAGCGGATTAAACGCAGGTTTTCGTCTGAGCACGCTGTTGTATTAGTACTGCATTTGTATTAGTTACAAAAAAGGTTTTCTACACCGTATTTTCAATGGAAATTCTTGGTATCTAAGGTCGAGCTTCTGTGGAAATGACGTTGTGACATAGTATGAAAAATTGCTGCATTGCCTGCGCTTGAGGGAAAGTTATGGTCCGTGGACGTCACGCATTTTCCGCAGTATTTCATTCTCATGTCCATTTAGCGCGTTATCACATCTTGCAGATTTATATCCCGCGTGTCCCTCGGCGTGTTGGTTGTTCCATCTCAGAAATTGAGTTCTTGTACATTGCTCGTCTTCTTTCCTCTTTTTCCTCGCAGAATGTCGAGGTGAACGGGATATTTCCTTTACGAGGGCCGCAGAGTGGAGGCACTGAAGTTGTGATTCAAGGCAATCACCTGAATGTGGGCTCTTCAGTCAGTGTCTCGTTCAACGGATTGGCTTGCAAAGTGAACCCGTCCCAGACTTCTTCCGGGAGGATTACATGCACCACTTCACGCTCGAATGGCCCGACGCGGATCGAGTCTGTCAGTGTTCACATCGACAATGCAGTGCGGACTCTGTCGAAGAACCCGTACAACTACACCTTGGATCCGGTCATATCTGAAATCAAGCCGTTGAAGGTTAGCACAATTGCAGTTTTTTGTTTTTGTTTTTTAAATTTTGTTACAGGTGAATCTCTGCGAGTCGAACTTCGTGTGATCAACAGAAAAGTCGAGTTGGAGAAGCAGTTTTTTTTTTTTAAAGGGGAAATAAAGAATTACGAAAAATTGTAATCGCTGATATTCTGATTCGAATTGCTTCCGAAATGATTTGACAGGATGCCGAAATTGTAGGAAATGGTTAATGTGTCTAATTAGTCTTCCACTTCCTTTAAAATCACGCCAATTTAGGTTTTTATTGTTTTTCTCTATTCTGTGTCAATGAAATACAGTATAGCCAAAAGGCCTCCATAAAATTCCACTTGTGGAGCTTTGAGAGAAAAGCCTTGGAGTTAATGTTTTTAATGCATTCTTTCTGATGGAATTTTTACAGGGACTTGAAGAAATTCGACTTTCAGAGGCTCAACTGTATATTTTCGCATTTATGAATCAGGCTAGAAGTGCATCACTTTGCCGATATTTTATGTACATTAATTTACTTCTGAAATAATTTCTCGGTCTCGAACGCCTTTCATTATACCGTAGATGTTCATATGGTGAGCCAAGCTTCTCATTGATTTAAATGAAGAATAAATGAATACAGTCAGGCTTGATCAAATACTGGACAACTTCTTTGTTTATATTAGGTAAACATCCCAAATGAACGTCTAATGGAAGCCGACTGGTACATTGTTCAGAAATGAAGTTTACTCATTCGTGTGTCGTGTTCGATGATTAAGTTTGCCTCTTATTCGAATCTTAAATTGAATCAACATTTTCCACAGAGTTTTTCATCTGGTGGCCGCATCATAACAGTGCACGGATCAAACTTCGATTCCGTCCAAACCCCGTGGATGCTTGTGCGGTTGGAGGATCAAACCACTGCGCTCAATATGACGGTGAGTTTTGTTTTTGTGTTTTTTTCATATCTCTCTGGATTATTATTAGAGGTGTTTAATGGAAGAGAACCACTTAAATTCCGTATGAGTGATTTCCTGCACCTGGCAATTAAGAAAATAAGCCCAATCTATCTCACGATTTGTTCAGCTCAGAGGTTACTTTATGGTGATGGGCTTATCCTACCGCAATCTTTTATTGTGGGCTGTTCGTGGAAGAACAGTCGGATTGCGTACATCTTTTGCGTGCAAAGTTTCGGTAATAAAGTTTTAAGCTGATGTGCGGTTGATTTGTTTGCCAGCATGGCGATTGTAGTTTTTTTTTTTTTTTTCCTGCCGAGTGAGCATACTTGCTTTCCCGAATGTTCCCCCTTTCGAATGATTGTGTGTTCAGAGCAACTTTGACCTGAAAATTTGTTGGCCATTATATTTACCGCAGACGAATTCAACGTTTCAGGTGTGCAGTTGAAACTCGTTTACCCTCGATGTGCAGTTGAAACCTTCCCGAATCGAATACCTCCCTGAGTCCATTTTTTATAGTCCCTGTCTGAATTATCTAAGAAACAGTTCATTTAAAAACATCCTAAAGTCGAAGGCTTTACCTTTCAAGCCTCCATAACTCGAATTTTCTGAGGCCTTTTGGCTGTTACTTTCTTGATTCAGGAAACAGTAAAAAGGAACTTGATGTGTTTTGAAAGGAAGGGAAAGACTAATTGGGCAAATGAACCCCTGCCTCCAAGTTCAGCATCCTGTCAACTCCTTTAAAAAGCACTTAAAGGCAGAGAATATCACCAATCACAGTTTCCTGCAATTTTTTTTTATCATCCCCGCTACAAAAATGCTTACTTCCCTCTCTCTAAACCTGCCGAACCTGAATTTTTTTCTGGTCCCTTGAAATTAGATTCAGAGAGGTTCGACTGTATATTCAGGTCCCATGTGCAGAAGTTGCCAAGTTAACGATATGAGACTATTGTTTTGTTTATCTGTTTGAGACTCAATTCAATAGAAGAATTCAACTTCATTTGAATTCTTCTAATTTTTCACACGCAGGCTTGCAGTGTTCGTGGGCCCACTTACATGGAGTGTCCAACTCCGCCTGTGAACCTGGCGGACCTGTTGAGTCGTCGCAATGAGGCGAAATCTTCTCGTGTCGGTCGTCGACTTCGACGAATGGCCGACATAGATGCGCTTCCCGCTGGAAGTGCTACTGCCGTGATTTTGAGAATTGGATTTATAATGGACAATGTGGTTGCTGTGTTGGATCTCCCGAAACATTTTCACAATCTCCGGTCTCAGTTGACTTATGTACCTGATCCTATTTACCACGTGTTTCCCAACAACATCAAAATCTACAAGGGAGACACTTTGGTTATAGAAGTGAGTCCGGCTTTTTGATTTTCTGCATCATGGACGCGAAGCTCATGTTTTTTTTTTTTTTACGATGAAACGAATATTTCATTCGTTGCATCAAGTTAACGGTATAATGAACCATTGGTGAACGAACTTGATTCGTTCCAGACAAAATTTTATTTTCCCATAGACTTTAATTGAGAACCAATTACAGTAATCTGTTCCTGGCACCCGAAGTATAATGAAAAATTTCATGAAACAGAATTTTAGCGCCATTATCTAATCAGAATCAGTTCATAAAGCATCCTGTATGTTCACAACGTTTATTTTTATTTTTTTAAGGGTTGAAGGGAAATATTGTATGATCAATAAAAAAAACTCAAAAAGCTTCACATCCCGATAAACATTCACACATGAGTGAAATAACTGTCACCAGAAAGTGATTCTTTAATTTTACAATCCTGTAATTGAAGAACAAATTCAACAGTTGAACAGTGATAAAACTATAAAATCAGTTTAAAGGTGTCGTTTTCCACAGTTCCTTACAGCTTGATATCATATGTTGAATGGATTCTGCTCAAGCCATGCAACATCCATGGCACACCCATATGTAATCACTTAGTTTTTAACACACTCAAAAATTTTGTGTAAGCCTTTGGTCTGCCAAGTAATTTTTCAGCATGATCCGTCCATTGGAACTACAATTACCGGTAGATTTCCCCCTACAGATCAGTGTCATAGCCAGATTTCGGAATTTTTGCCTTAAAGCAAAAGTCTGCAAAAGTCTCAAAGAACATTTCATTGACAGAAGGTTCACTATATTTTTTCTTCAGATGTGTTTGGAATTTCCGAAAACTTTTTTCGTTTTTGACGCAATCTTGTTTGAAATTTGTTTCTCACCGAGGTGATGTTCTCTTTCGCAGGGTGAGGGATTGAATCGAGCTAGCGATGAATCTGATGTTAAAGTGACCATCGGAGTCAAGGAATGCAACGTGACTGCCCTGACCTCGCGTCAGCTTCTGTGCTTACCCCCGCTTGACTCCCCGGAATCGACTGACGAAAACGGCGTTCCAACCCCACAACTACTTCCCTTGGTAGTTGTTCGAGTAGGGAAGAATCTTAGGTTTCCATTGGGCCACCTGCAGTACGTGTTCGGACAAGGAGGCAGTCACGGCAATCTGCGGAAATACCCAGGGACGATTTTCACCGGGGCCGAGTTCATCGTGGGCATTGCGACTGCTGTTTTGGTTGTACTTTTGGCCATCAGTTTCATGCTCATTTATCGGTGCAAATCTTCGCAAGCGGAACAAGAGTACAAACGAATTCAGATCCAGATGGATACGTTGGAAAGCAACGTGCGTTTGGAATGTAAACAAGGTGAGATGTCTTTCTTGACGTCATGTTCAATATTGCGAAGTAAATGGGGAATTTTGGATTTTAGAGTGTACCGTTGGAATAGTGGAGGATGCGCTTCAATGTTTTCAATTTTTATCTACAGCTTTTGCCGAGTTACAAACCGATATGACAGACATGACAGCGGATTTGGAATCCACAGGAATACCTACGCTACCGCATGTAGCATATGTTATGAAAGTCTTCTTTCCCGGCGTCGTTGATCATCCAATTTTGAATGATCCAAAGCTCAGTCAGGTGAGAGAAGGAACAAGCTTGAAGAGTGTTTATTACGTTACCTTTTCTTTTTTCTCTGAAACGTGATTCTTAAATAACAATTTTTCAAATTCCAATCGTGTTGTACTTGCGTGTATTCGAACGAAACTTCATACAACAGCAGATTTTGCTGAACGGGCCTCGGACGAACTACGACTCTGCAATGGTGCAGTTTGAGCAGCTTGTTTGCAACAAAATGTTCCTGCTCACCTTTATAGAGACGCTTGAAAGCCAGAAGTCGTTCACGATCCGTGACAAGTGAGTTGAATTCTCTTCTTATTGTTGAAAATCTCATGGCGAATACATGGGTACCACAAAGGAGTCATCCAGCAATTCGGAAAAAGTTTACGCTGATTAAATTGGACCAGCAATTTTCCTTTTCCCCCGACATGTCGAATTTTCTCTAGTGAGGCAAATGTCTCATCAACGTCGAACTCACGCAAACTCTTGACCAAGCCTTGCAAAAATATATCATGAAAATTAAACCCATCGATTCGATTGGTTCGGCAATTTTTTTGTTTTCCCGGCATGTCGAATTTATTCTTGAGACTGGAGAGGCTTGAGAAGTGCAGGTGGACCGTGGACACTACAACGAAATTCAAGGGACCAGAAAAATGTTTGTTTTAGAGATAATTTTGTTAAAGAGAACACGTATAACATGGGGAGAGAACCTAATCGGACTGAAGAAAAATTCGTTGTACACAGACAAGATGCAAGAGCGAGTCCACCTGTATTTCCTCTATGCTGACGCGAACTCTTGACCAAACATAATTTAACGCGTGAATTTATTTTTATCATAATCAAAACTACCCCTATCAAAAAGTAAGGAAATTGAGGCAAAAACTAGAAAAATTGTGCAATTGTTGTTCCGGGAAGTGTGGAGGGGATATGATGAGAAAGAACTGTCGAATATTCGCGATTTTCTTGGTGTCCAGGGTGAACGTTGCTTCGCTGCTCATGGTTGTGCTGATGGGAAAGTTGGACTACGCGACTGAAGTCCTACGGATGTTGCTGTCACGACTGGTTGAACGAGCAGCGAACAGTCGACACCCGCAGCTAATGCTGCGACGGACCGAGTCCGTCGTGGAGAAACTCTTGACAAACTGGCTTGCCATTTGCGTTGCGGGTTATTTGCGAGAAAAGGCCGGGAGCGGATTATTCCTGCTTTTCAAGGCCATTAAACATCAAGTTGAGAAGGGTCCAATTGATGGAATCACGCGCGATGCCCGTTATACCATGTCCGAAGAGCGGTTATTGCGGGAGCAAGTGCCTCATCAAGTTATCGTTAGTTATCACAAAACTTCGTACATCACCTCAATCTCTTCTTCCTTACTCATGAACTCTTTTTTTTTTTTTTAGACAATCCATTTGGTGCAAGACGATCCGCACTATGAAAAAATACCGTATCATGCTTATCAGGTGAGAATTTGTTGTCTTGTTGATCTCGGTTGAAGCCGAAAAATATTTGCAGTTGAACCTCTCTGCGTCGAATGTCAATGTACCAGCAAAAAATTCCAGTTGGGGAGGTTTCGAGTTGGGAAAACGAGTTTTTTTGTTGTGGGAAAGATGGATGAATTGCAGGAAATTGTAAATAGTGATATTCTATCCTTAAATTGTTGCTTGAATGAGTTGACAGGATGCTGAAATTGCAGGCAATTTTTCATTTGCCCAGTTAGTCTTAAACTTCCTTTCGAAGCACATCAAGCTACTGTTCCACTGCTTTTCTCTTTGCTGTGTCAAAAAAAAACAATGGCCAGAAGGCCTCCGAAAATTTGAGTTGCGGAGGCCTTTGAGTAATGGTTTTTAATGCATGGTTTGGAAGGGGTTCAGACGGGGACTTGAAAAAAAAAAACAAAAAAACAATTCGACTCGGATAGGTTCGACTTACCGAGGTTCAACCTGGAAGTGAGTTCGAGGGAATTCTGAAAATGCGTGCTTCAGTTTATTGTCGGTTTAATTAACCTTTCCTTCAGAAATAAAAATAAGGGTAAACGCAGCCTAGGGATTCCAATTCCAATTCCAGACCTCAATAAGTTGTTGGATTAGTTCGAATTTGTTTTAGAAATTCGTGTGGAAGACGAATTAGCGTGATGAGGTCTATGAAAGGGTCCACAAATTTTTTACTGTTTGAAGTATTAAAATTCCATTCTTATTGACCGTATGATATCATTCAATCGAGATTACGCCATTGGTCAAAGATATGATCCTGATTGATTTTGCTTGAACCTAGTATAAATTATGCAATCTCCGTTCAATTTCCTATCATTGTTTGGTGCAAAGATGATGTTTTTTGTCATGTTCGTATATAGCAAGCGATGAATGGTACATCTGACGATACCGATGAAAAGATTCAGTGCAAGGCTCTGGACTGCGACACCATCAGCCAAGTGAAAGCAAAAATTTTGGATGCTCTCTACAAAAACACGCCGTTTTCGCTGCGGCCATCAATCTACGAAGTTGATCTCGGTAATTCTTTCTATTTCCGGATTGAGTAAAATCGTCACAATTGCGAATGAATGTTTACTTTTTTTTTCTTTCTCAGAGTGGAGACCTTGTGGACGAGCAATGCCGTTGATCTTGGTAGATGACGACGGATCAACAAAGAAAGAGCCAGGTGGCTGGAGGAAACTAAACACACTGGCTCATTATGGGGTTCAAGACCCGGCTCTGATGGCATTGATTCCCCTGCAAAGTCCCCCTGCACGACATATGTCCTTGGGGAAAGGCTGCCAGGGCTGTACGTTTATTCATCTATTTTTTTTTCCTTTCTCGGCATATTTCACTCGTGGCATTGTTTGAAAATTCTTACTGGAGCGTGGTGTTTATTTTTCAGGCGCTGTAAGCCCTTACGACCCACACCCGAGTACCGGAACCCATTCAAGGTTTACCAATGGTCACTGCGGTGGATCAGACAGCTCCCTTGTTTATCACCTAGTCAAGCCTGTGGACGATGCGGATGCTCCGAGTGGAAGCAGAGGTCACAAAGCCATTCCGGAGATCTATCTCACTCGTTTGCTGGCCACTAAGGGCACTATCCAGAAATTTGTGGATGACTTCTTATCGTCTATCCTCACTGTGGACGAGTCTTTACCACCCGTCATCAAATGGCTGTTCGATCTGCTGGATGAACTGGCGAAACAGCACGGCATTACTGACCCAGAAGTTATCCACGCGTGGAAATCGAACAGGTACTGTTCTCAGGGTGGAGCAAAAACTGTATACAGTAGTACAGTATGCGGAATTTAAAGTTGTGTGCACTGGATATCCCGAAAAATTGCATTTACCAATGTGAAAAGAGACGTGAAGTTGATGCAACGTTTGTGCTGTAACGCCAGTAGAAAAACGAGAGCTGTCGTATGATTTATTTTGTCGGTGTTCAAGACTGAGCTGTAATATTAAGCAAGTTGTTGAGTACCACACGCACCTTTATTTCAAAATCAAGTAGGGAAAAAGAGAGGGTGAGCGTCATATTCGGGTATTAAAAATTGTTTTCTTCAGTTCAGGTGCTTATAATGATTGATCCTTACGGAACATTTTTGACAACTTTTAACGAAGAATTATTTACAAGGGAAACGATGAAAAATTAGCTAACTTGGGTTGTTCAAGTCGAAATGTTGATTTTGATCTTTTTTTTTAATTCATGAAACATGCGGTGCGCATCATAGTCTTGAATAGCATAATTCCAAATATTTTGGATTAGAAAACCAGTTGCGCGTGGTACTCGCGTAAATACGGGTACAGTATTTTATCTGTACCTTCTACAAGAGCTTGCAGGCTTTTTCTGATACCCATATCTGCTTGGAATGAGTTTTCCGAGTCGTCTATTCCCTTTGCTATTTTTATTCGGAAGGGAAACACATTTGCAGGAAAGTATCGACGACAAATTCCGTTGCTCTTCCGGATTAGAGATTTGTTACAAATTACGTATTGACGATCTGTTTCGAGAAGACAGTTTTACTCTCTCTACGACGAATTTTTTTGGGTTCAGCTTGAATTTCGTTGTAAAGGGCCACCTGCTGTAGTTTCAAGTAAGATCGTTAAGACGTGATTTATAAAAGATCTACTATCCGTAAGAGCTATGAAATGTGTCCTCCATCTTTTCCAACTGATATTTTTTTCTTTGTACGACGAATTTCTTAAGGAACCCTATGTTATGGGGAATCATGTGGGACCAAAATAATTGTTTTACAGAGAATATCACTGTAGAGAAGATCGTTGTAGAGATAGTCTACTTGTAGTCCAGTCTTACAGCGCATTATGTGATTCCGAAATATGTTGGCGATCATGACGTTCTTTTTCTCTCTATTTTTTTTTACCAGTCTTCCGTTGCGTTTCTGGGTGAACTTCATCAAGAACCCGGACTTCATTTTTGATATTAACAAGACCCCCACGGTGGACTGCTGCCTGTCTGTGATAGCTCAAACGTTCATGGATGCATGCACTACGACGGAGCAGAGACTAGGGAAGGACTCGCCTTCATCCAAGCTGCTGTTCGCCAAAGACCTCCCCAGATACCGCCGCCTTGTGTCCAAGTTCTACGCCGACGTTGCTGATTTGCCACTAGTAACAGACCAGCAATTGCATCCTGCTTTGCTGCAGCTCTCCGTTCAACACGCTGGAGATTTCGACACGATCGCTGCCTTGAAAGACTTGTACATCTACGTCTCTAAGTACAGTCACAAAGTAAGTTTGTTGGGCACCCATTGAGGAATTTTGGAGGAATGGTGCGATCTTTGCAGGGTTGCCAGATGAGATACAGTGATCATTTGCATCCTAGAGCATTTTTCCCCTGCCTTTTGGTCCCGCGGATACGGCACACTTTAAGTGAAATTTGTGGCGGACCAGCACATTTCCGTATTTTTCTGGATCACCAGAAAATGTTTAAATACCTGCCGTAGTTAAGGAGTTATAATGGAATGTCTTCAAAAAATTAGGAAGCTGGGTTTCAAGAAGGTTTCTCAGTGTGAATATTGTACTTTAAATACTTTGTTTCAGCTGGTGAACATTTGAAGTTTTATGAGGAGAAAATTCGACTTATATTTTTCATCAGAAAACTTCAACTGCCATTGTCTTTCTGGAATTTCAGAATAAAGATAACCGACTTCAATACTGATCAGTATTGTATTAAATTATAATGTGCGAGTTGAATGACAAGAAAGAGCGTGCATTGAAGTATGGCGTTTCATTTGTTTTCCAGATACAGGAAGCTTTAGAGAACAACGGGTACTGCAGTAAAGCGATGCTGGGCCTGAAACTCAAAAACGTGGCTTTCACATTGGATGGTGACGATACTCTGTCGTTCTGAAGTGATAAATGATCAGCTGCTTTTTCTGTTCTTCGAGTGGATGCCGTACTGCTTGACGATATAATTGTGCCCTTTGTTTCATACTTGGATATCTGCATATTTGTTCTGAAACGGAGCAATGAATTGAAACTGATTTTTGTTATGCCGACTGCTCATTTTTATTCGCATTCCTTTCATTCGTTGACAGTCACTGTATTAAGGTGCGGGGCACACAACGATCATGTATATAGTTCGTGAATCACGTACAATATGGATAGCAGATTGGAATTTCCGCGTACTTTTCATGTTTATGTTTAATATGTATAATCTCCGTACAAACGCTGCAATTGGAACTCGTCAAGCTGTTGAATATTGCGAGATCTCGTCCTCCCGTCAGTCAATCGTGGCAGCTAACTTCATTGGTGATGCCGAAATAATTGCATGGGTTTCTTAGAAATGATGATTTTGGACAAGCTGAAGTTAATCAAAAGATCCTGGATGTAAGATACCGCAAAAAAGTGGACAGCTAAAATACTTAGGGTGTATGTGCTTAATGAGTCATGAACTTGAACAAGAAATTAAAAGTGATTTAAAGATAATTTTCATGTAAAAAATTAACCTTTTTAAACTTAAAAAGTTCCCAACATGCTTTGAAAGAATGAAACCTGCTGGATGATTTTTTTAGGAGGAAAACGTCATATAGAAAATTAATGTTACATACTGCCGGAAGTTGATGATCACTTAGCGAAAAATGGGATTACAGTATACACTCAGATTGGACACTGTGCAAGTACGATACCATGTCATATATACTGTACCATTCTTGCATTAGTACGCGCAATTCATGTGCAATCGCTATTTCGCAATTCCACCGAATCTGAATTATTGCTGCAGCTGATTCAGGCGCCGAGAACCATATACGTGCTGGAAGTCCTGGAACGCTAGCAAAGCAAATATGGGAGGCCTTTCAAATTCAGTATGAAGTAGGATTACAAAGTTGCAAATATTTCTCGCGAATCATATTGTTAGGCCATCCAGGAATATCCATTTGCTGGCGCATGTCCATCGGGAGTTCCGTTCGAATCTACTTTTTTTTGTCCTGCTCCATTATTCATATTACAGTACCAGTATAATTGAATGCGGTAAAAAGGACTGCTGCTGGTGAAGTATACAGTATATATGTGCTGCTGATGAGCGATGGCTTCGATAGGAAACTTTAATATTCACTGTGAGAGGTCGCAACCATCAGCAGTTCTTCCATTTTCCGGCTGGGCTGAAACAATAAGGTTACACGAAATTGACATTACTACTGAAGTGCTGAGAGCCATGATGCTGTATATATATGTGCACATCGCAGTTGGCATTATATACAGTATTCTGCATCTTAAATTTTTTCTATAAAACAAATTTTATTCAGTTTTTGGGGGATTTTTCCCCCTGATTTTTGATGAACTGAAAGATCAGTTTTATAAGTTCATATCGGAGTCGTTGGGGAAACGTGATTCAACAAGCAAAAAGGTGTTGATACAAAATGGGGATGAAACCATCAGGTACCAGCAATTACACGTCCCGCAGCTTCGGCTCACTACTGTATATATGCCTGAAGTTTTGTTGATGGGGGCAATACTTAAATTCCATTGGTACAGTAATATGAAACTTTTTTATAGATATGTTTCAGCAGATTGTGGTGAAAGTTCGGTGCATATTATGTGGACCACCTGTCACCTAGGCTGTGCCGCACTTCATGTATACAGTATGCCGTAAAACATGGATCAATGAGAATTGGGAATTGCTCACGTCGTCGTCCTTGATGATATTGATGACTCTATGACATTTTAGTTAACTAAAGAAAGCAAGATGGCGAGACCGTCGATAAGTGGGATCTACACGAGGTGAAATTCGCACGGCGGACACTTGACTTCGGGGTGATCTCGAATGTCGCCGCGGGTATGAGCGCCGTTTGCCTGGGCGCTGCTGGCTCGCTGGTCAGTACTCTTAGATGAGTAAGTTGCGGTGAAGGAGTAAGTTGCGGCAAATACTCACTGAAGGTTTGTAAAATCATAAAAACACGTGGCAAAGTAACTATTACGAACACATCCTTCAGAAGAGTCACGGTCCCTTATTTAAATTCCTATGTGCATGGAATGTATGGTGAGCTTTGAATTGTGTGGAATGATTCAGAAATTTTCTCGAGATTTTGAAACTCAGGAATTTCTCTGAGCTTTGATCTGAATCTAAAATTCTTACAATAATTGTATTCTGTGCATTGTGAATTATAGAGGTTCATCCTTTTCTGAATTGTTTCTGCATAAAACTTGAAATTATTTTTAAAATTATGGTAGGATTGCCTATTTTTGATCTATGATAAAATGAAGGCAGAATGAAAGTAATTCTGTGTAAAAAAAAAGTGCTGCAATTGCTGACAAATCAGCAATTCTAGTCAACATTACCAGGCGACATTAGATAAAAAGAAATACATATTTAAAAGGTACACTTTATTGAAGCTATGTTTTTCCACAGGTTCATGGGGATTTTTAACCATGTACAGTATATAAGAAAGGAACTTTATAAATTTCACTTAAATTTTTTTTAAAGTGAAATATGAAGCCAATTTTTCCTTCCATTTAAATGGATTTTGAAACTTGGATTTGAGCATGAAAATACCAAGGCAAAAATATTTACCATTCTTTTGGAGGGGTCATAGTAGGAAATCATATATAGTAGGTTCTTTATGAGTTTTTGAAGCATACCATGATGAGAATCGTAAAATTTTATTTGCTATCATTTTGGAATACAGTATATCATACATACTACCTAATTATTACTGTACCTATTCTATTTTCATCCTGTGACCTTTTGGATAGAATCCTGCTTTTTGTGATTTTTAAAATAATTAGTATCAGTATATTCAGCCTATGGCATGATAGATGCAGTATTACATTTATTCACACAACTCATTGAAGGAAATGAGGAATGGATTTTCTTGGAAGTTTTTGTGGAAGTCCTATAGACCAAAAATGCTACGCATTGAAGTCACTCAATAGCAGGGGTTGGGGAACCGGCTGACTCTGAAAGAGATTGGCAGTGTGAGCGCACGGCGCCCGAAGGGAGGGTGGCAGTGTCAGTGGCGTTCGAAGAACAGCCCCGGAGGTTGAGGTTAACGAATCCGGACGAAGTTGCGACAGCTCTAGTCTTCCCTTGGAATCACGTGTGCTGTCTGTGTACGTGATTGCCGACGCGGTATCCATCCAGATCAGGTCTTCATCATATCTCCAGCTGTGTATGATTGATTTAATATGAACTTCAGTCGTGCTCATGTCTATATGTAATTTATTCGTCCTAAAAATGAATTAATCTTCTCTTGTCGCGTACTGTGAAGGCGAGGCTCCTTGTCTCCTTCTGCTGAAGATCAGCTTTTGAGAAAAATTTAATCTGCAATTATGAATATCGGTGTTGATTTATGGACGCATAAATCAATGTATTATCTGAGGTCGTAAGATGAGAGCATTTTGGTGAGCTTCGGAGTAACGTGTTTGGTCTTCCTGATTTTATTAAATAGAGAATGGGAAAGTATCTCGGAGAACAGCTAAGGACAATTTCATAAACTCTTTCAGTGCCTTTTCCCTTTTCTTTTACGTGAGCCTGTCGTTTTTGAGAGAAGAATTTTTAATTGTTCTGGTGAAAAAAATACGCCTCGATGTTATGTACTCCCATTTTGTGATTTTCTCCTGGAGATCTATGATCGATTCTGTACCACGAATTTTGAATTTTTTGAAGCTTGTTCTGTATGTCAGGGGCTGATCTCCTTTTTCTTCGGCGTGAGAACTCAATGAGTTCTAAATGCGATATCTTGCAGCGCTTCGTTCGCCTGCTTCACATTGCGTAGTTATACGAATGAGTGCCGTAATTGAGAATTGGTGGGTTCAATATCTCCGGATGACCCGTACATGAACTGTGTGTCTTGTATCGCATTGAGGAATTTTATTGATTGCGGACAGGAGGATGCCTTCGTGTGATAAGTTCACCCAGTTTCCCGCTGGCGCCGATGAGGAAAGGCTAGATTTAGTGGACGAAGAGGAGCAGCCATTGCCGAAAAAGTTCAAGGTACGAATTTGTTTGCCAGGATTCCAGGAATCCTTTTACTGTATCTCTAATGTTGATGTTCACAGTCCTCCGGATGTCACGCAGTGAAAAGTAGCAGAAAACGTGGGTTTGAGATAGGGAAATTCTTCGAGACTGACTACTACTTCGAATGCGGCTTGAGGAAAGTCTATCCTTATTTCTTCACTTTCACATCGCACGCTAAAGGTCGCTGGGTCGGTAGAACTATGCGGGATGTATTTGCAAAAGAATTTCGTCTACTTTCGCCGGAACTCTATGTGAGTGCTGAAGCCCGAACTGTCGTATCTTATATAAAGTTGTTCCCAAATTTGTAGGAAAAGCAGGCTGCATTGGGGAGAACAATGGTCAATTACAAGAAGGTAGACCTGGACTACACCATCCAAAACAACGACATTATATCAAATTTGGTTCATAGGTAAATTTGTTGCCGACACAGCTTCAATTTTTCATCGACCCATTTTATTACAGGCACGAGATGCCCGTGACCGACAAACCCCTCAAGATTGTCCACAGTGATGACGATGTACTGGTGTTGGACAAGCCGAGCTCAATACCCGTGAGTAAAGGCATAATGCGCCGTGCACCCTTTCATGGCGAATAAAAGAAATGTCACAGATTCACCCAGTAGGTCGTTACCGGCATAATACGGTGCTGTGGATTCTTGCGCGAGATTATGGTATGAGCGGCCTTCACACGGTGCACCGACTTGACCGACTTACCAGCGGCGTTCTGATTTTCGCACGGAAACTTGAAACGGCGCGCATGCTTGAAGACCAAATGCGGAGTCGTGAACTCAAGAAGGAGTACTTATGCAAAGTCGTCGGAAAATTTCCGTCGTGAGTTCACTTTTTTTAAACTATTGATCATTTTTTGAGGATTTTCGAAGCATGGGTATGTTACTTATATCTGTAATAAGACATCAAGCGAAAATTCAGGAAAGTTATTCCTGGCGTGTATCGAAGAGACGAATCTCGTTGAATTAGCTTCAAACCGAGTGCGGAAATGTTCTAGAAATGTGGTTTGCGATAAAGCCATCAAGACCATCTCCCACAAAATTGGACTTTGCCGAGTTGCTGACGATGGGAAGAAGTGTGAAACGGAATTTCAGAGATTGACTCATGACCCTGAGACCGAGACTTCTATTGTTTTGTGCAAACCGAAAACAGGGAGAATGCATCAAATTCGTGTTCATCTTCAATTTCTCGGTGAGCTGAACTGGTTAAAATGTGCATGGCTCATTTCAACGATTATCATTGAGATAGTTCCTGAGGCTTTCCACGATGTCTGTGTTTTCGTTCTTATTCTATTTAAATATTCAGAGATCATCAGTGTATCATGTGTATTACGCTGAAAAAGAGAACTGCCGGCAGTGCAATGTCTAGAACTTCTGACTATTAATTTGCTGGCGAAACCATGATAAAAGTGATATTTACTCCTCCGAGCGTTTTTTCTTTTTCTTTTTTTTTTTCTGTTTTGCCCGAAGAACCGTGGTGGCAATGAATGAAAATGCGTGTCAAACCTTACATTCCATACATCCCATCAATGAGAAAGTCACTCAGTCGGATTTTTCTTGAATTTACTTTTTCGTGGTGCACGTAACTTCTCGGTTTTTTCGGTTTGAAAGTGTGCCTCTTGAAAGATGGATTGTATTACTGTGCACTATAGTGAGCGAATCCGACGTTCCTACTGAAATAGACAGCAAACGATATGATTTAGACCTCCTTAGAACTTGCAAAAAGCATCAAAATACCGTATTCATCAATGTCATGAGATGATTGTTGATAATCCGCAGATGTGTTCAGGATTAATTCTAACTTATTTACTTTGTCTCCTGCTTCACAGGACATCCAATAGTGAATGACCCATTGTATAATTGTTCATCGTTCGGACCGAAAATTGGAGCGAATGGGGATTTTGGTGGCGTCACAGATGATGAACTTATCGACAAGTTAATCCACAAGCATAATGCTGAGAACTGGCTGATCGATGAGGAACACCCGATAAATGACATTCAGGAAGACAATATTTGTTTCGCATCGCGTGGTGTGCAAACTTCAGAGGCGATCGAAGATGTCAGCCGGGACTTCGTCCTTGACAAAATGAGCTGTGATCCATTCTGTTTGGAATGCAAGCGGAAGTACAAGGATCCTACTGAGGAAGAACTTTCCATGTGCTTGCATGCCTTACGATACCAGGTTAGAACGCGCTTTATAAAAATGATTTTCAATTTATGCGAGACAAATGAATTTTTGGTTGTTTTCCTGCAACGATTTTACTTGCCAAACGTTTCGTTTCACAGTTCTTCTCTCCGTTTTCCAGGGACCTGGCTGGTGCTATAAATCTGATCCACCAGAATGGGCAAAACTTGATGCCCAAATACTCAAGGACTTAGAGAAATGATGACTTTTGACTTGCAAGAATTTTTACGATCAGAAGTTTGTTGCGCTGATGGGCCCAGTCTTCTGTCGATGGATTTTGAAATGAATTTTTGGATGAAAACCTTCAAAATGAAGATCCAGAAAAAGGGCGCCACTTGAAGACTTGTGGTCGTTTCACACTGAAATTAACGCGAAGATCGCGCACGAATTACATTCAGGGATTTTCACTGTAGAAAATTGAAACATTTTTCTTTATTTGAGTGTGTTCTTGTTTTTTAGGAAATGGCAGCGCGTAATCTTTTGTGATTCATGTTGTGGAGTGTGTACCTGTTCTGTTGCTACCGCTGTCGGCACTATATTTGTGATGGTGAAAGCACGGCTCCAGTAGCGCTGCTGACATGTCTGATGAATCACCTGCGGTGATTGCCGTGTCCGGAGACGGAATGGATTCCGTTGAAACCCTCGAACACACAGACGAAGCTGGTCAGAATTGTTCGGAAGAGAAGCCCGCATTGGTTGAGCAGCTAACGAGCCCGGTGTCCGTTGAAGATGACTTGCATGTTGCTAATGCGAGTGGATTACAGGTGGAAAACCCTGAAAGCCAGTTGGAATCCAGCGAAATACCGCATTTACAGGATAAAGACGTCGTGGAGAAAAATGCGGAACCCGATAGTCTACCGTCACTCGCAGCTGCTCCAAGTTCGAATGAAGAGCCAGAAGGGTCTGTTTCTTCAGCCAATGAAGAGCCAGAAGAGTCTGTTTCTTTAGTCAGACCTCCCGAAATTTCGTCGGAGAAATGTTCCGAAGATATTGTTGACGAAGAAGTACCCGGAATTCACAATCAAGTTCTGCCTCCTGCAGACTCAGGAAATGCTCCATCCGCTGATGCTGAAGTTTCTTGTGAGCATGACGTGCCGTGTGCTTCAGAAGCCAGCACGCCGTCGTCATTTTCTCGGGATGCCGACTCAAAGGGTGAAGATGAACTAGCTTCCTTGGATGAGAAACCGGTTGCTTTGGAGGGAACGGATGTCTTGATGCAGGAAATCGCCGTTGACGTGAGTCTTGGACTGTCTCTTATGCTTCTGTCGAGTAAAATTTTTTTTTATAGCAATTATTTGATGGTTTGAAAAAAGCTTTGAATTCGATTTCAAAGTTGTTCATTGTTTGGAAGCCCAGAAGTTATTCCTTTTGCACAAGTCGAGGTTTTTCTGATTTGGTTGATGCCCTTAAAGTTCAGGATCTCGTGAGGGACATTTTTCTTTCCACGATCTTCTTCGTCCAGCTGTTCATTCATATCTCGATTTTCCTGCAAATGATAAAACCCTTTTTTCACAGTCGTTCGCGTTCAAGATTGGTCTTGCAAAACTCTTCACTTTTTAAAATCTGTCTTCTAGAACGTTTGAAATGACAGGCACGCCGCGTCTCCCATTCCCTGTTGAGGGAATATCGTTTTTTTAAAACCTCTTTTAGAGCCCACTTCTGTTTGGAGACCAGGGTCTTGAAATTAAAATCTTTCGCGAATCCTTGGAAAGGATATGGATTTAAAATCTGTTCTTGCATCATTCTGAAATTACATTTTATGAGTTTCTCGGCCAGTCGGGACGCCTCTAGAAATGCTCTCGCATACTTTGAATGAGTTCTTGGGTTGGAGTGAATTTTTAATATCCGGAGTTTCCTTCGTTTCTAACTATTCCAAGGGTGAGAAAAATGCATTTTTCAGGTCGAGCAATCTGATAAGGAGGCAATGAACGCTGGCTCTGCAAGTCCTGCTGTTAGTGTCCAGAGCGCTGAAGAGCTCGTAAAAGCGGACGACATGACACCAGCATTGAAGTTCGCTGTGCTCGTTGGGCTGGTCGACGTAGGAAATGTCAGCAACAAGGAAGTTGTTTCCACAGTTCAGCATCTAGTAAGTTCTTTCATTCGTCTCAGTTATTTGGTTTGCTAATAACCTCCTAGATTTAAAAGCAGAGATTTTGTGCTTTCGAGGAGTACTTCGTATGAGAATTTGGAATGAAATGCGTTGTGCATTCACAAATGATCCATGATCGGCCCATTATGTTCATCATACTTACTTCCCATTATTTTATGTTACAGTACTAGAAGTTTACTGTGATGATCTACTCCTGGAATTTCTTTGAAACTGTACTGTTCTCCATTGATGAATTTGTTCAAGTGCTACAAGGTCTCATGATGGGCAAAGATTATTGCATTGAGTTCGTTTGACTTGATTGTCTATCTTTTGGAAAAATCTAAAAATTCATAAAAATTTTTTTGAAGCGGCTGGGTTATTTTTGAGCGGAACTTTTCTTCAGTATAACAATTTCATGTTTTTCAGTTGGTTGGCGGGGAATTCGACATGGAATTAAACTTCATCATCCAGCATCCACAATCCATTTTGCACATGCTGGATTTGCTGGACCACTGTTCATCTTGTCTGCAGGTGCTTTTTTTGTTTTTGCGTTCGTTGAAGTTTCTAAGAAGGCAAATCTTCTATTTTGTTCTTCAAACTCCCGTGACCACCCTTGGGTAGAAAGTGCCATAGCGCAGATTCGAATTCGTCTGGATATAAATAAAGATTTACTGTACATTTTAAAATAACTGTGATACGAAGCCTAACGGAATGTTGTGAATGGAAAATATTGTTGAACTTGAATTGCATTGGCTGCTTTTCATCTCTTCAAGGCCGAAATGTGGAGTGTGTTCATTGCTATGCTGCGGAAGTCGATACGAAACCTACAGGCCTGCGCAGACGTCGGTCTGATCGCCAAAGTCCTGAATCGGCTCGGCAGTGCTGACCCAGTTGTTGCGGGTTCGTATTTATATTCTCATTTGATGCCCTCATTAGTTCAAAACTACGTATAAAATCAGTGTGGAATAAGTAACCGTGTCATTTTCGCAGACCTCTTGATTGAGTTACTTGGTGTCCTGGCATCGTATTCCGTGACTGTTTGGGAATTGAAATCCATCTTAGCGTCCATGAAAGGGGTTGGTGGGCGATGGGTGAGTAAGATTTTTCATCTAGGTTGCTATTTTTACATCGTGAAAGGTTTTTTTTTCTAATTTTTGTCGTAACAGAGTGACCATGTATAATTTATTTTATTTCTCTCGTATTCAGTCTTTTTCGTTAGCATCCAATATAAAAAATATTACGAATTGATTTTTATGAAGCCAACTGAATCTTTGTCCAAGTGCGACGTGTACAAATGTTGCTATTCCTCGTTTACTTTGCAGCCTCGACATTCAGCAAAATTATTGAATGTGCTGCATCAAATGCCACAGCGCACCGGACCCGACCAGTTCTTCTCTTTTCCCGGAAAGCAAGGCTCAGCTTTGTTGATTCCCCCGATGGCGAAGTGGCCTTACGAAAATGGGTTTACTTTCAGCACCTGTTTTCGACTTGATCCAATAAATGCTGTCAACATCGAGCGCGAAAGGCCTTATCTGTACTGGTGAGCTATGAACAACTGTAAGACAAATATCCACCGAGCTGCGTATCTAAAAGTAAAAGGAGAATACAGTGTGTTATAAAATATCATGACTTGCTGCCGAAGGAATTTATTTTTATATTCCAACGATAATATATGATTTATTAAATTTTCTCTCTTCATTGCTAAGTTTTTAGTACAGTACTGTATTTATAATGTAATCGTAGCATATCTATACCATGAACATTTTTCTGGAAAATCGAAGATGAATAATAAAATCTCATTCACGATACTATTTATTAAGTTTCGTCATCTTTCTTGGCAGTTTCAGAACGTCGAAGGGTACAGGATACTCGGCGCACTTCGTTGGGAATTGTCTTGTTCTGACCTCCATGAAGGTGAAAGGCAAAGGCTATCAGCACTGCATAAAGTATGAATTTCAGCCACGGAAGGTCAGTTTTACGGCTTTTACCTGATTTTTATCGTGACGCGAAATTTATGGCGAAAAATGTTTTCATTCAACTTAGGGGGACTTCAGAAGAAGTTTGTTGTAACAAATAATTTGATATGAGATTTTGAAAATTATTGACTGATTCGAAGATTTTCTTTGAATTAGACCTGCATATACAGTATTCAACATCTTCCTTTTGTGGTCTTTTCAGATGTTTTTCAATGGTTAAAAAAATGATTTTCAAAATATATGTAATTGTTAATAAAAAACATATATTGTACTCTGAAAAACAGGTAAACACTAGCTCACTTTCTTGACTGTGAGTTTTTTTAATGCAATTCTTGCAAATATTTGTTAGTGTGGATGTTCCAAAATTGCTGACAATTTCACATCACTAGATTGACTAGGGTTTCTCAAGCATACAAACCCTTTTTAACATGAGTATTGCTGGGATAATGTTTTTCTCATCTAACTGCCCTCCCCCGTCCCACCATCATTTAAAACATGCCAATTATTCTTTCAATAATTGGCAAGTTTGTTGTAATGAGATTTTTATAACGTGTACCCTATAGGATTTTTGCCGGGACTTGAAAAAAAGTTTGTCATACTGAAAAAATTGTTGTAACAGTATTTTTTTTAATGAGATTACTGTATTTAATGTTCTTAAGTTAAATTATTGCGTGATGTAATCCAGAATTCAATTTTGTTGAGCGAGTTTCAGATCGGTTGAATGCTAATTTTTTACTCATTTTTTGTCTTTAGCTCCCAATCAAAAGCTTTTTTCCAATTACTGTACTGTACATGATTTGTTTGCGTCCACAGTGGTATACCCTGGCTGTCGTGTACATTTACAACCGATGGAGCAAGAGTGAAATCAAGGTGTACGTGAACGGGCAGCTTGCATCGTCCACAGAAATGACATGGCTAGTATCGACAAATGAAGCTTTCGAAAAGTGTTATATTGGGGCGTCCGCTGAACTGGACGAAGAAAGAGTGTTCTGTGGACAAATGGCTGCTGTTTATTTATTCAGTGAGGCCCTGACCGCCCACCAAGTTTGTGCCATGCACCGACTTGGCCCCAGCTACAAGGTGTGTGTGTGTGTGCGAACGAATGTTTTCTTTTATCGAGCGGACTAATCATAGCATGAAGTGTTTACATCAGTAAAATTTCGCCTTCATTTTTGTTTGTGAAGTTGATTGAATGCGCCCTATTTGGAAAGAAAGGTAAAAACTTCGCCCAAGCTACGCGGTTCGTGCACAAACGAATGATGAGCTTTATCGAGCAAACAGTTTGCCTGAAGTGCTTACATGAGCGAATTCCTGCTTTTGGTTTGTTTGCTGAAGTCGATGTTTTCAGTTGGTCTGATATTGAAAGAAAATTATGTATGTAAGCTAGTTTCTTGTGTGCTGAAAAATTTTCTGTCGTGGCTGGAAAACTAATGCATATTTTAGAAGTACAGAATTGTAAAAATATTGTAATTACAGTATTGTTACATTAATTTTTAAGCCAGGTTTCACTAGCTTCGAATTATGGTGTTTCAAAATCAACTCAATATTAATTTTCTTTCCTCCCTATCCTGTGATTTTCATGCGATTGATGTGTTCTGAATATATTTTTTATTTTCAGAGCCAGTTCAGATTTGAAAACGAAAGCTTGGTTCAGCTGCCGGAAAACCACAAGCGTGTTTTGTATGACGGGAAAATGTCAAACTGCATTGTGTTCATGTATTCGCCAGTAGCAACAGACAGTCAGCTTTGTTTGCAATCAGCACCCAAAGGAAACGCTTCTTACTTCGTGCATACGGCCCATGCGCTCATGCTGCAGGTTTGTAAATAAATATGAAGTGTTCGTCTTTGCTAGAACTGAATCTGCTCGGCTGAAATGTGTGTTCAGCGTGTATCTCGCTTTAATGAGCCGTCAGAAGGTGAGCAGGTATGAGTTGCAAGCAAATTTTTCGATTGGGAATGCGAAGGAGCAGCTTTGTATTGATCATCGGGATCCGAGGTATAGGAAGTGATCATCAAAATTTACAAGAGTTTTCTGCTAATTCCGTTGAACCAAAACATATTTACAGCTCTCGGAAGCTTTTTCCGTGGGGCAGTTGAAAAAAACTGTTTCCAAGTGCGAAAATATATTAGATACTGTATTCAATTAGCTTATTTTAGGAGACCAACCCACTGTCCCGTCATTTCTTGCATCTACCTTACATTTTTCCTGGAAAATTTGCTTTCGTTGTGCCATTTTAAGGTGGCCCAGTCGTCGTTATATGCTGAAGTTCGAATAATTAAAAGGTTCATCGCGAAGTTTGAAAGTTTTTCCGTAGACTGAAGATTTGTGTATTTTTTCAGGATGTGAAAGCAGTCGTTACCCAATCCATACATTCCACGCTCACTTCAGTCGGTGGTGTCCAGGTTCTGTTTCCACTTTTCTCTCAGTTCCACTTACCGACAACTGCGGAAGGTGGTCAAGAAGACGCAAAAGCCATTGCGTCATCTGCAGTTGACAAGAGTCCAGAAGCCGGTGATCCTCAAATGTGGTTCGTATAAATGTTTTTACCACTAACTACGTATAATTTTTCTATCATTCGACGAAGAGACTCATATGATGAAACTCCTACATAAGTTGTAGCAATACATCTTGAGATTCGCATTAACAAATTAGGTTATCTTACTTTCTTGGACGTTCCTTCGAGACTCGTTCCCCATGTTATCAATTGAGGCTTTTTGTCTAAAATTGTCTATAAATCTTAGCTGACTTTGCTGGTACAGTAATCTCAGTTGGTTGTTCCTCCTTGACCTGAAATCTTTTCGAATTTTTACAGTGCCACGCTTTTAGCATTCTTGTGTGACCTGATCGAAAGCTGTCCAGAAGTGCAGCACCAAATGGTAACCTCAAGAGGATTCCTTGTGATCGCCTGGCTGTTGTTGCAACAGCAAAAACGACACCTGAATAAGCGAGCAGCTGCTTTGAAAGCTGCTCAACATCAACAACAGCAACCGCAACCCTCCAATGATTCGAATAAAGAAACGAAAAGCAGCCAACCGGATGACGTCAAGAAGGCAGAGTCACTTTCATCTGTGGATGTGGCCGTGAACAAGCAGGAGCATTTGCTGTCAATGCCCGTGTTATCATCTTTCCTGAGACTGACGAAGTTCCTGGTGACGTGTCCCCACAGCACTGCCGAGCCTTTGCTGAAACAGCTGCTGGATCATATTCTTTTCAACCCTGCCCTGTGGATTTATAGCCCTGTCCCTGTCCAGCTCCGACTGTATTCCTACCTTGCGACTGAGTTTCTCTCAGATACCCAGATTGCATACCAGGGCAGCATGAGAAGGGTTTCAACAGTATTGCAAACTCTGCACACTCTGAAGTATTACTATTGGGTAGTGGATCCGAGACCCAGGTCAAATATCAGCCCGCGTGGAATAGATGGACCAAGGCCCAGCAGGAGTGACATTCTTTCAATAAGAGCGTACATTTTGCTCTTCGTGAAGCAGTTAATTTTGGCTGGTAGTGGAGTGAGCAAAGAGGATGAGTTGCAAGCGCTGCTCAACTATTTAACCACGATGCATGAGGTGAGTGTTTTTGTGTCGCGCGTATTTTTCAGTACCTGGATGATCTGTTCAGTTTCACTGATTTTTTATCTCGGACTCAGTCGTGCATTTTGTCCGAAGTTTCTGTAATCTTCTCAAAGGATTTGCAGAAATGGCGACTTGAAAAATTTTTTTCGGGGTTCTGTGCGTTGAAAAGTTATGACTTTTTCAGGATGAAAATTTGCACGATGTACTTCAGCTGCTGATCGCGCTCATGTCAGAACACCCGTCCACTTTGGTCCCAGCATTTGATGCCAAAGGTGGTGTGCGCACCATTTTCAAATTACTCGAGTCAGAAACGGAACTCGTGAGGCTCCAGGCGTTGAAGCTGCTTGGCTTTTTCCTCAGCAGATCTACCCACAAGTTCGTTTCACTTTCAGTTTTTATTTTTCCGAATAACGTATTTCCTCTGGTCCATACCTATCGAAATACAGAGCGTATATGGTCGAATGTTGATTACTTTGTTTCTGTGTATAATTCTCTTCCAGGCGAAAGTATGATGTGATGAATCCACACAATTTATATACGTTGCTGGCTGAACAACTGCTGCATGTTATGCCCCATGATGGTGTGCTCAACATGGCCACGTACAACGCTTTGTATGAGGTGAGTTCTTTGAATACCGTAGTTCTTTTTGGAAATCCTTTACATGTCAGTTGGTCATGTCCTTCGACGAAAGAATCGTTCTTGAAACTTACGGTTTCCGAAAGTTAAAACTATTGCTAGTTGAAATATTTGATCTTCATTTGAAAATGACCATGATGAGTATTCGCTTTGTGCATGTCAGCTTTCTAGGTTTTATTATTATTATTTTTTATTATTCTTTATTCCTTGCAGATTTTGACAGAGCAAGTACACCAGCAAGTGGCATTCGCCAGGCATGCAGAGCCGGAGTCGCATTTTAAATTTGAGAATCCAAGTGAGACAACTTTTTATGATAAGACCCAAAAACATTGCGGTAACTTGATTTACCTTGATTAAAGAAATGATTGTCGAATAAATTATTTGGTTTTGCAGTGATTTTGAAGGTTGTGGCCACCTTGATCCGGAGATCGAAAGAAACTAGTTCGTTGCTGGAAGTGAAGAGATTATTTTTGTCAGATATGACAATGCTGTGCAATAGCAACCGGGACAACCGCCGGACTGTTCTGCAAATGTCGGTTTGGCAGGTAAATATCTGTCAGTATTAAGTGTTTTTGCGGTATTCGCAAGAGTTCACGAGTCTACATTTGTGATGAGCTACTAATAGCGACTGAAGATTATTCCAAAGCTTGCATAATTCCATAGAAGTTTTTAAAAATTGATTCTTTAATAGTGCATTCAAAAGATTTCTTCAATAGCGTTAGAAATCAGTGAAGTGCTGTGTTCATGTGCTCCTTTGTCGTGAAGCTTTTTCGCGTGGAATTGAATGAAGATAACGTTACTTCTTTCTTCCTAGGAATGGCTCATAGCAATGGCGTACATCCACCCGAAAAATGACGAGCAGCGCAAAATCTCAGACATGGTGTATTCCTTATTCCGCATGTTGCTCCATCACGCACTGAAATATGAATATGGTGGTTGGCGCGTGTGGGTTGACACACTCGCGATTGTCCACGCAAAGGTTGCTCAAGAAGAATTCAAGCTTCAGTACACCGAAATGTACAGGATGTACGAGAGCCGAAGAGCGGATAACATCACAGATCCTGCTGTAAGACAGAAGAGACCCATCTCCACCATTTGTGGTTGGGAACAAGGATACCAAGATTCTGACAAACAGACCCTGCAGGAGCCCGACGTGACCAAACAAGGAAACACAGAGGCTCTGCCGAGTGCCAGGAATGAGGAAGAACTAGAACGAGAAGATGCCAATGTACCTGAGGAAGACGATGAACAGGAAGAAGATCTTGAGGAAGAATCAAGTAACAGCAAAACTGTCAGTGCTTCGAGAAGTCCTACGACCGAAGTTATTAGCGACAGTGAAGCCAGGATCCTTCCGGCAGGAGATGAAGCGAATGAAACTGACCTAGATACAAACAAGGAGGAATGCATAGAGAAGAAGATAGCTGTTTCAGTGATAGGAGACTTCGGTGATACTTTAATTAATGGTGGAGGTATGCCAGCTACAGACGAGGAATCCCATCTGGTGCTTCAAAATGGTGGTGGTGATGAAGTTCACGCAACGAAGATAGACATAGATGCCAGCAAGCCGAGGCAAGTAAGTCAAGGAACCCAAATGGATGAAGAGGATATTGGTGCTCCGAGGAAGAGGTACTCCTTACCTGCTACTCGCAGGAAAAGAAATAAAGGTAAGTCCAATCTCCGATAAAATCACTGTGGATTTTAAAAAATTATTTTAGTCGATGACCGCGAGAAATCGATGCTTTTTGACCTCACACGTACAGTACATCAGTTTTTGCCTGCCAGTCGCTAGTCGTCGACTGACAGGTTTTGCCTGCTATTCGGTGTTTTCTGAGGGCGAGCAATGGGATATCCAATTCGTAGAGAAGATGTAACTTGATAATTTAATTCAATGTCAAGCGAGGTCTAATTTATTGTTGAGATCGTCGCTAATTCATTTTCCATCCTGATCTATGTTGCCTTTTTTTTTTTTAAAGCCGCTCGAAGCAAGTCATCAGCAAGTGCCTCTGACAGTGGGAAGCTGGATTCTGAAAAAGGTGTATCCGCTTCATCTGCCTCAGCGTCAGCTGAAAGCAATACGAGACAGATGTTTTCTCCCGGTCCATCACGTCCTCCGTTCCGAATACCAGAGTTCCGGTGGTCCGTTATTCATCAGAGGCTGTTGAGTGATGTGCTTTTTTCTCTGGAATCTGATATCCAGGTAAATTGATTTGGAATTTCGAGCGATTAAAACTCCAAGTTCTATAAAGTAGATCTATACCATATATTGATGGGATGTGGGGTTTTGCATCTGGGGTGTTCAGACTTGAATTCTGGTATTAGTCGATTGCTTCGTGTGACTAGCTATTCTAATGTTTTTCGTTTAATTTGTTCAGTAAGGGCGCAAAGGAAGTACTAGTGTCACTCATCTCGTTTTAATTCTGTTTTCAAATTTCAGGTGTGGCGCAGTTCGAGCAAGTCAATCCTGGACTGCGTCAACAGCGGAGAAAACGCAATTTTCGTCATAAATACTGTGCATTTAATTTCACAGTTGGTGGATAATTTGATCATTGGCTGCGGTGGACTTCTACCGCTGCTGGCCTCGGCGACTTCACCGAATGTAAGAGACCGTGAATTGTATTCCTGACGCGAAATGTGGCTTGATCATGCAGAATTTTTCTGGGTCTGGTTCATCCTGCAAATGTTGCGTTATTCTGAGAATTTATTCTTTGCTCGTCGCACGTCATTTGAAGAAGTTCGGGTTTTATTATGAAACATGGGATCTTCCCACCTTGGGCAGATTTCCTTGAATAAGAACCGAAGAAAATGCAGAATTTTGGGGTTTTTGAAACTAAATTATTTTCGGTTCAAGCCTGCTTGTTCCGCTGTCTTCACGATAGGAAATAGCAGTGATGTGTTTATATGCAACTCTTGATCCCGGGTTTTGTGAGGCATTTACACATCGATTAACATCAACAGATCTAAATGCGACAACTGTAACACTGAAAGAGATTTCACATGAGCAATCAGCGTTCGATTTTCAAAAATATAAATTCTTACAGATAAGTATTTCCGATTGGTATTTTGAATATTGCACCAAAAGGTTGTGATCTGATGAGAAACGAATCGTTTGACAAAAACGGTATACGTGTGTGAGTTTGATTGGCTTTTTTTCTTTCCTTTTATGCAGTGCGAGCTGGATGTAGTAGAACCAGGGCAAGGCCTTCCGGTTGGTGTTGCGATTGGGTTTTTGCACAGGCTTTTGTCCTTGGCCGACATTCTGGTATTCGCCTCCTCCCTGCACTTTGCTGAGCTCGAGCAAGAGAAACACATGGCAGCTGGTGGCATTCTAAGGCAGTGTTTGAGAACTGTAAGAAGCCTATCAAGAGTTTCTCACGAAATAACTCACGAAACGATGATGTATGTAATGCCTATCATTCACGCTCATTCCTTCTCTGTAGGTTTGTACGGTAGCAGTTCGGAACTGCCTGGAATGCCGGGAACGGCATCGACTGGGACTTCTCGGTGATGGAGCTCTGCCACCATTGTCACCAACGACCGCAGCTGCATTAGCTGTTGCATCCGTTGGGAGTGCTGGCAACACCGGTGGAACTGATGGTGGAAATGTCGGTGTAATGAACGGACATAGCATCGACGTTGACCCACGTTTCTCACATATTCAAGCCCTGATCCGTGGTGTGCTTACAACGGTGGAGGTAAACAAAGGCATTTTAGCTTCGGAATGCGTTTAAACATTTCTGTCATATACCAATTTTTGTGCGATCTTCGTCGGAAGTAATCCAGAAGAATTCATGATTAATTTATCTTGAAATATTTAGTTCATTTTTCAAATTGCCAGTGGTCGTTTACAAAAATGACGTGCGTCTTGTTTTTTTTAACGCTTATAATTTATTAACACAGTATTTAGCGACGTAAGCAAACCGAAGGGAGACACTACAGTACTTTCCAAATATGCCTGTTCATAAAAAAACAATTTATAATTCGTGAAAAAATGCGACCCTAATGACGATATACGTGGTACAGTATTTAATTACATTACACATTTTTCAGAACATCGCTGAGCTTGGAGGGCAACAAGCAACTCCAGTGAAAGATGCGAACAAGTTACTGCAGGATATGGACATCAATCGCCTTCGGGCAGTGCTTTATCGTGATGTGGTAAGCCTTAGACTCAGTTTTTGATTTTCTTAAAATATTGCGTGGAAAGTGAATTTTATCCTGGGACACTGTTCGGATTGAAAGTTGAACCATGATTAATTCGTCGAAAGGGTGATCTGTCAGTTGTGTTTGATCAGGAATTCGTACATATTCATCGAAATGGAGATCATGAAATCTTTCTAACCTATTTCTTTACCCTGGCGTGAATTATGCTGAAGCATTACAGTGCATTATTGGGATATCTGGATCTAGCAACTATTTGCGAACGACATCAAGGTTAATTATATTTTACGCTATTATGATGACCAAAGAACAGTAATTGGGTTGTATTTTAACACGTTTTTATTAACTCGCTTTCTTGTCCGTTTGTTTGTCCAGATCAAATTTTGCATTTTTTGTGCTTTTGTGCTGTGAAAATCAAAAAATGAAATAGATGCGCACCACGTTTAAGGTTATTTTTTGCTTTTTGAAAACGTGGATTTTTAGATTAATTTTTTAATCTACTATAATTATTTCATTTTAATACTGTATTTGGTAAAGACGTCCGTTTGAAAATCTAGAAAGAATAAGATGAAGTGTCGTATTTACTCAAGAACACGCGCACCAGAGTTTTTAGTCAAATAAAAAAAAATTATCCCTGGATAAGACGCGCACCCCATTTCGAATGACTCTGAAACTACAATACTTGAAAAATAAGAATGCCGAGTTTGAATTTAGACATGATTTGATCTTCGAATCAACTCATTTTCAATTGTTTCCAATGCAATAAGTTTTTCTGTTAAAATTGGTCGGACATTTCCCATTAGAGTCAAATATAAAGAATACCGTTCCTAAGCTTCTAAAATTGAAAAAAAAGTATGCCTATTACGCGCATCCATTTTTCCTCTTCAATTTTGAGAAAAAGGTGCGCATGGTACTCGAGTAAATACGGTAAGAATTGTCGATGAAGCAAAATTATGTTTGAAATCGACGTGCTGCATCGATTTTCTTTCAGGAGGAGACGAAGCAGGCGCAATTCTTGGCCCTGGCAATTGTGTACTTCTTGTCAGTCCTGATGGTTTCCAAGTACAGAGACATCCTAGAACCTCCGTCGACCACTGCGAGCGGTAGCATGGGACAGCAGCAGTCACAACCTAGGTCCTCATCAGCCTGTGGATCGTTAGACACAGTAACCCCTGATGTTGCCGTCTCTGGTGGCAGCTGCCGACCGTCACAAACTGCTGCAGGTAAAGCGAGTGATGCTTCTTATGTGGACTTCAACGAGTCGTTTAGTTGCATGTGGCCTGCGTCGGCATGCGAAAGTTCAATTGGGATTAATGGTGAAGCGGCGCGAGTGAGAAAACGGCGACCACCGCGTTACACAATCCCGCCTAGCCTCATGGAGGAAAAAGATCCTTTCTTCTTTGGTCTTGATCGACGACACGCTGCAGGATTTCAGTTTCTTCCCATTACCACACCGCATGTGTCGTTCCTCAAGAGACATTTCCCGATAGTTGGTCCCACTGCGATATCATACCTTCTCAACGACGCTTCGGCGGAGACCCGGACGAACGAAAAGAATGCTGAGATGTCGCGTAGGGCTAGTTATGGTGGTCAGCAAGCTACCGAAGGCAATAGAAAAGAACGCGAGAAAATGAATGTAAGAAGGATGTCGCATGCTTGTGTCGATGAGGCCTCGACGCAGAAACGAAAAAACACAGTACTTCTGCCCGCCTGGGGTATGCGAAACAAGTCTAGGGTAATCAACATTTCCGATCAACAGTGTGTATTTGTTGACTCCAGGCCAGTGAAGCTACAAGGTACCCGATTTACCTGGAATTTTGAGCTGCACTGTTGAAACTTAGTGCAAAAAAAGTTGGTTTGTTTTAATCTCCAGGAAGCCAAGCCGATCCCGTATTCCTGGGATCACTTGCGGAGGAAGTGTCAAAAAAGCACGGCTTATCCCAAGGAGAGCTTTTTAGGACTGATTTTTGTTGTTGCTCTGAGTCGATTTTTTGGTTGTTATATTCAAATTCGGTCGTAGTTGTACAACTGCGTTCATAGATCAAGTGGTCTGTTTCGCGACTGGTTCAACACGGTCACAAGTTTTCTCTAGATGATCATCATCCGTAAATCATCCAATTTTACTTGGTGCTTGTGTTCCCTGCACTTGCATGCATCCACGTTCCCAAGTGCGCGTTTTTGTAGTAGCTCGGGTGTTGCTAGCTTGCGATTACAATGCTGCAATGGTCACGGAGTATTCATTGTTTGTGCTTTCCGGATTATTTATGCATTTTTATATTCTCTAGGGGACAGAGAGATCGTCGAACGGGATGATGAGCAAGGATCTGCGATTTTGTCTGAGGTTTGTGGAGCTTGGTTTTTTTCGTATGTTTCCATTGCCCGTTAAAAACGTGAGAATTTGTTGGGTTGCTAGTGACGGTCGAGCTGCTCTGGTGGAATTTTTCACTTGTTTACTTGATTCTCTCATGATGCCTTACTTGTTTCTCTCATGTTTACTTGATTCTCTCGGAGTGGGAAAAGGTTGAAGTAATTCCAAGGAGGTTTGTGTCCAGTATACTTAGCCGCTGGTTCGTTGAATGTTGAAGCAATTTCTGTAACAGTAAAGAAAACTATTCAGTATTCGCGAGGGTTTGCATATTTTCGTGAGTTTCAGATCCGCGTAGGAAGGCTTTCACGTGGTTTAGTAATACAAAGATTCTGAGGTATATCTGAAGATCATTGTTGCGTTTGCGTGTTGACCGGCTGCTGTATTCAAAATGATTGTCCAAATCTCATCTTTCGTTTGCACAAAACTTTGATCGAATAGCTGAGCGGTTGAAGTGGAAATTTATTAAGATGCTAAATTTTGACAATCACTTTCCATAAAATTTCATTACTGTATTGCAGTTTTTGTTATTGAAAGGATTAAAGTTTGCATCAACTTGTTGTATTTTACGGGAACGCTTTCCTGAAGTCACGGTGAGGTATAAACCTCGAGGCACGTTGAGATAATTGTCACCGACGATTTTTCATCCCACATGGAAAAAATTCTGTCGACAGCAGAGCCTTTTTTTTCGAGTATTCCGGTCAAATCGAAGCACTGAATCAGGCGAAGATTGTTTCTTACACTTCTAAAGAAAACGTTCGAAAGTCAGTCCCTCTAATCGTTCATTGCGACTTTTTTTTTCAACGGTATTCTAATAATGATGTGAGGAAGCACAAAATCTTCAGCTTTCCACCGAAGCATGGCGGTTTCGTACTTACAAAAGCTGTTTCCCTGTCATTTCTGTTTCCTTGTTCTCTGCTGAGCTAAACCGATCTGCGCGGTTTCCTTTTCTGACATTTTATGGACGCAGCATGTGGGCGACGTGTCGCCTCTGGGCGTTGCGAGTGGCTCTAACCCTGACACAGACGCTTGTATGCCTACTAACCCGGCCATCGTGCAAGCTGTTACTGTAACTAAATCCTCTTACGGTCAGAAGGTAAGGCGAAGTTGGGTTCTCGTCAGATTTTCTGCGTGGAAAAACGTCTTGTTAATGCTGGTTGCATTATCTTGTGTTTTCGTCTAATAGAATCAATGTATGCTAGGAAGAAATGTATCCTTCCGGCGTAAAGCGCAAGCTGAAAGTATGACATATCCCAATGATTTTGATGGCTGATTCGCTTTGATGCTTGAGCTTGCTGTTTTTTGTTGTTCTGGTGTTTGTCTGTCCTCTTTCGGACCCTCTTGTTCGTGTGCATGTTGGTTTCCCCGAAGACTTCTAGTCAGGAGAAGGTTTCCTTCAACATGAGGAATCCCGGTTCATGACGCTTCCTAATCACATTTCTGGTTTCTTAGCTGGATTCAGACGGTGGCTCGGTGAACAGTGCCATCATCGTTGCGCAGCAGCAGCAAAAAGAACAAATTGAAAATGGCCAGAACATTGCGGAGGTTGAAGATGAAGAGGAAGACGAAGAAGAAGAGGAAGACGACGAGGATCGTCAGCGGCAATTGCAGCGAAATGGCGGAGATGCGGATCGAGAGGATTGGTCTGAAGTCAGTTTGAACGATGACTCCACTCCCACTGCGACAAATGGTGAAAATGACATTTCTTTTTTTTTTTTTTGGTCACGCTTCCTCTAAACATTTTTTTTCTTGTGCCTTTGCTCTTGCGTAATTTGCGCAATGTAAGAAGGGTTGTTTTCCAGCTAGATCAATATTGTGCATAAAGGTATTTAGACTTTCATTTGAACTGACCCAGCCTTCCTGAACGGAGAAAGAATCGTATTCAAGTAGACCCTCTCCACAACAAAATTCAGGGGAACAGGGGATTAAATTCGTTGCAGTGGACCTCTATGCAATGTATATGTGTGTCTATGACTCTATGCTATGTATGGGACGAAAAAATAATCGATTCACAGATGAAATTTTTGTGGGAAGTTTCTACCCGTATTCTAGGGAACAGATCCGTGCTGTTTTGAGCTTTCTCAAACCCAAAGTTCTCCAACTTGTGAACATTCCGCGAAATCGAATGATCGTGCGTTCAATCAATATAAACCTTGCAACTTCATCATAAATTGATAATCATGCTGAGCACAGGATTTCGCTTCCCAAGGATTATTCAAATTAGTGCTGCCCAGCATACGTCCCGGAGATACGCCTCATTCATCAGGCGGTTCATTCTCTAATATTTTTCAAGTGACAGCCGCCTTTATTAAAAAGCTATTCTGGATTATGAATTTAAAAATTCGAAGCGTTGCTCCGCCCTTGAAAAATTCTGCCAGGCTAAGTCTGTGATTCAATGCATAGCGCTGAATTAAACTTGTAACTTTTCATTCAACGGGGGAATATTTGAAACCTCTGAAATTATTTTTTATTGCTCGTCTCTGCAATGTGGCCACAGCCACAACAAATGTATTGATTTAAGTTGGGCAGCACTAATTCAAATTGTTTCTAGTCGTACGAGTCATGCGATACATCCAACAATCAAAATCAAAACAGTTCCAAAAATTGAGTTGTTTCAGTTGACTGGGCACCGTACGACTTCTGGACGGCATTAATTTTGAGCACAGGGGCAGCCTCATTTCCCCCGTTGAAGAGCAGCTTAATCAACCAATGGAACTCGATTTTTGGCAATGTTTTGATGGTTGGATTTATTGCCTGAAAAAATTCATTGAAATCGGCGGAGAGTATGTTAAACAGCACTGAAGTGTTGCCAAATGACGGGGCTATACGATAAAAAAAATCAGGAATTCTTAAAATAGATCCAACGGAGTTTCAACGAGTCTCAAACCTTTTGAACCAGCCCCTCACACATGGTGTAAATCACTCGTATCTACGTCCATGTAAACAGTCCAAGATATCCTTCAAACCAGCTTTAAATTCCTAAGTCTCCGTTCACATCATCAGGCATCAGTAAATGGTTCGGAAAAAGTTTCGATTAACGTTCTCTTACGAATGTCTTCAACAGCTCCAGGAACAATGATGTCTGCGAGTGCGAACGCGAATAAGCCGCCTGCCTCTATTCCTGCTCGTCAGTCCAGAAATGTTCAGCACCAGCCACCTCAACACAACATGGCCGACCTGGTGCAACGTGAAGCCTCTTTGACCCAACAACTGGAAACTGCTCTTGGTCCAGTTTGCCCGCTTCTTAAAGAGATAATGGTGGATTTTGCGCCTTTCTTGTCCAAGACCCTCGTTGGATCACATGGTCAGGAGCTGCTGATGGAGGGCAAAGGACTGACCACTTTTAAAACTAGCCAGTCCGCTGTGGAGTTGGTGATGTTGCTTTGCTCTCAGGAGTGGCAGAATTCCCTGCAGAAACATGCTGGCTTGGCCTTCATTGAACTCATTAATGAGGGCAGGTGGGATATGTTCATCCTTTTACCACAATCAAGCTATAAGCGATTACAAAATAATGAATCATAGTAAATTATAGTATCTCCTTCCAACGAAGCCATTAGGACCATGAAAATAGCTTCTTTATAAAAAAAAAATGTTCGTGAATAACCTCGAATAACATGGTTGCTTTTGGGCGGAGACCTGAAAACGAATTTTTTGCTTGCGATTATTCATTATAACGATGTTTGTTGTAACGAGATTCTTCTACTACGCTAGAAACTTCCTCAGGCTATCAACCTGATATGGTCGTTTCTCCCGTATGAAGAATAAAAACTGATCCATGTGCGTGACTTGATTCATGTTTGCTTGAAATGTTCGAACTGTTTAACGAATGTTCAACCTTACTAGGCATTTTTTAACCCGTGGAAAAGATTATATCAAAAATCGTGAAGAAAGGCAGTAAAACCTCATTGCATGTTTTTACTCGTTTTCTAGGCTTTTGTCACATGCAATGAAAGATCATATCGTCCGGGTTGCGAACGAGGCAGACTTCATCTTGAATCGGATGCGAGCTGATGATGTTATGAAGCACGTGGAATTCGTGGTATGTTTCCTTTTTTTTTGGTTGCTTTATAAAACTCGGTCGCGTGAAATTCTGTTCTATCGGCTGTCGATATTTTGTCCCGCGAGTCCGCCGATGAAATATAATAAAATCCCGTCATTGTTTTCGTGTGAACCAGGGTCTTTGCGAGCAATCCGCCGGAGAACGGAAAGACGAAGAGCGACTCTGCGATCATTTGATAAGTGCAGCGCGGCGACGAGATGCTATGGCTGCTGGCAAGGGTCTCGATCGTGTTCTGCATTCATTGACTTCACCGTTCGGTGCCTGGGGGCGTCGGGATACGGAAGCGGCAGAGGCGGGTGTTCGTCAGCCAGCCAGCCGGGTTTACTGGAAACTAGACATTTGGGAAGACGATGCGAGGAGGAGAAAGCGGTTCGTTCCCAACCCGCTGGGCTCTTCGCACCCGGAGGCCACTCTGATGGTAATTTCGAGCAATTTGTTCAATATTTCTCTTCACTATGAAGATATTTTCGCTGATTTTCGAAGTACGCGCAAATCTTCATCCGAGGCGACAGAAACATATCCCGGTGTTTCCCGTCCTTTTGAGTGATCATGCTGATTTTAATTTTTTCTACTCGAAGGCTGAAAGGTGATATGGTATACTGTATTGAAAAGAATGTATTTATTGATGCTCTAGTGTTGAGTCGCCCATTCGATGATGATCTTTCTGTGGTCCCAGATTTACACGGAACATTTTTTAAGATTTGACGGACGTAGCTACCACACTGGAGCTGTTCAACTTTCCGAACATCATTCAGTGTTCTTTAATTTCATACTCAAATTCCAACGAACTTGAAAATTTTTGCTCTTCAGGTTCGCTAAACAGTACAGTTTATGAAAAATCCGCTTTTTTTAAATTAACAATTTAATGGAATCTGCTCAAAAATTTTATAACGCTCGAGTTCTTGTATTTTTTAAAGCATAGGTTGGCTTGATGCAAAAGAACGAGTCATGCTGTGAGAACCGAAATAAAAAGAACAGGCTAACGAATGGACTAGCTGAGCTCCTGATTGAATTGCAATTTTTGTAACCTTCACTTTATTTTTATTTCTTAAGACCAATGCGGAATTTAGGAAAGGCTTTATTAAAAATTACGTGGAATGCTGTAAATTTGATGCTTCTTTCCCCTACTGTAGCAAGTTTCTCATGGTTCTGGATTAAAGTAACAAAATTCATGGAAAGGCTTCGCACATACGACATATATTTTGCAAATGTGTAATCGAATCGTTGAAGTAGACCTGCACCTGCAACTAAATTTGACTCTCCAGATCCCTGCGCTATTGCACGACATTTTTTTTTTTCGGTATTGTTTTTCAGGCTGCACTCGAACATGGGGCTCCGCAAGACGCGATTTTGCAGGCCCGTGAGGCGTTCCATGCCCAACTGGCTGCCGCGCAGCAAAGGGCCAGTCGTTGCGGTGGAGCTGTCATAGACCCTGCCCAACAACAACAGCAGCAGTCGATGCAACAACAGCAGCAGACCTCGGCTGCGGCGGAACTCATGCTGATGGGTGACGATTCGGGGGCGTCGGGTGACTACATGCAGCACTTGGATGATCGGGACTTGGACGCAGATATTGCAGGCTCTGTCAATCTGTCTGTTTCTGCTTCGCTGGTGGCGCCGGGGATCATCGTCCCAGGCACCTTTTCGGTGACCAATACTGAATTCTACTTTGAGGTGGACGAAGACGATGTTCAGTTTAAGCAGCTGAACCAGCAGCAGCAACAGGTTAGTTGGCATCTCTCCTTATTATATATTTTATTATTAATTTTTACATATTATTCATAACTTTTCCGACCAATAATTACTCGAGAAAATCCGAGCCACGGCCTACGCGTGGTACTTTTTTTTCGCTATTGAATTCAACTTTGCGCATAAATGGAATGAAATTTCCGCCATCAGCGGTGTTTTGCGTTCACAACTGTTCGATAAATGAACGAAAGAAAGAAAAAACATCCAAGAAAGGTGGGCGTTCTGTGTAAGAAAGAATATAAAATAGATAGTGCATCAGTTCTCTTGAAAATTTCAACCTGTGTTGTCTCCAGCAAGGTGACTTCGACGGTTACCTGTGTGCTTGAGGCAAATTTTCTGTTCAGTTTTGCCGCCACTTCACCGCTAGTTTTGATAGTGAATCGAACAAAGAACATTTTTAGGATCTAACAAATGGAATACTGTAGTAATAATCGAAAGTTAAGTTAAATCCGATGTGTGAAACAGTCTAAGAACTGTTCTTGACTCTTCGATCTGAGCCTAAAATTTCATGCTTCCCGGGAACAAATCTAATAATGCGGCAAAGGTTCCTATTTCAATTTTCAGTATTTTTCTTCCTAGAAAGCTGAGAAACCCTGTCAGTTGATTCTATAGAAAACAACATTTAGTTTTGCATCTGTTTCCGTGTTGGAAAAATATTTTCGGCTGATTTCCTCAGTGGAATTGCACATGAAGCTAAGATAGTATGAACATGTTGCGATTTGACGGGGGTACAGTATAATGTTGATGCTATCGAGTAAACTTCACTAGTGCGTCGCGAAACTCCCGAGAGCGTGAAAAATGCTGGATGAGGGCAGGTTAACACGTGCGACAATATTTATCACTCAGAAATGCGCTGTGGAAAAATATGTCCGTGCCGGAGAAGCCGTGCAAATTTTTTGCGCGGCGGAAGAAACACGGATTCGAATGCTGCGTAAGACGCCAGATGTTGCTTGAAACTTGACTGCGTATCATAAAATTTACGAGATTTCCACACTTCAGCTGACATCCGATTTTTTGTTTTGTTTCATCCGCTTGGCAAACGAATCATGGAAAATTATCTAGCTCTTTGACGCATTCGTTAGAAGGATTAATGTCTGGTTGTTTTAAGAAAGTTGCTACCCCTGGACGTGATTTAGAGTTTAGACGAAGGCGAGAAATAATCCCAGCGGAAAAACTTCGATACAGTATTTTGCATCGTGGTCGTTTTTATAACTTGAAAATTGAAACATATTCGAATTTTCAGTCTCGAAAAGTTTCTTCATGTGCGCATTTCAGCAACAGTTCCAAGATGTATGCAATCAACACCGAATCTTTCTGACAGAAACGCAAGACTGGCATTAGTGCGAAATTCGCTAAAGCGTTTGAAAACACGCTGAATTGGTGAGAATTTCCCGGGTCAGTTTCCAACACTTCCTTGCTGCGTGTTCCAGCTGTTCAGGAGTTTCTCCTTGAAATAAATCCAGTGCGGGAACAAAATAATCGGGACATTGGCGGCTCTGCAAACAGGCCATGAGTTGTATCAAAGTCCCACTCAACCTTTGGCCGAGAGCAGCAGGTTGCCAGTCTTGTTCCTTGGGATGTTTTTCGCATTCGTTCAACAGGACAGCCGTTAAAACCCGAACGGTGATGACGGTGTCGTGCTTGACAGTTTTGGCGTCAGTCTCCGTGCTGGTGACTAGATGTCGATCGCGTAGTGTTTTGAGTATGCTGAGGCATTGGCGTCTGCACCCTGGTCGCAACATAATTTCTTCTGCTTGAGAGAAGCTCATTGTCCAGGCATCCTGAATCGATGCGGACACGGATGAATCCAATCCCGGCTGTTGCTGGTGTCTGTTGACGGGGTTATTATTATTTTTTTTCAAGTAAGGTCAAACCACGATAACTCTCGAACTCAAATACCTCCCTGTGTCAAAATTTTTGTTTTCAATGGCCTGACTGAATTCCCTTGGAAGCGATGCACTAAAACCTCCTGAACTCGAATGCTTTCTTCTCAAAACTCAATAACTTGAATCTTCAGGAGGCCTTCTGACTATTATTTTATTGACACAGGAAAGATAGGAGCAAAATATTGTTTAACGTTATGTGTTTTGAAATAAAGTGAGACTAATTGGTCCATGAATTCTTGACTCCAAGTTCAGCATCCTGTCAAATCATTCAAAAAGCGATTTGAGGCCTAGAATATCATCAAATACATTTTCCTGTAATTCTTTTTTAGCCCAACAAAAATCCCTGTTTCCCTAACTCGAAATTGTCATTGCTGGTCGCTTGAAGTTCGACTTGGAAAGATTCGACTGTATTTGCTTAATTTGACGAACTGAAGATCCAGTTTTTCTTGAAAGATTTTTTTGCGCGTCCCGTAAAAAATTTAAATTATGCGCGGATAATTCATCTGAGGAAAGGCTAAGTTGTGAATGCTGTTGAATAATGTGTACTTTTTTTTAGTACAGCAAGCGTTGCTAACGTTATCTGTTCGTTGATTTTATGTAGATTGCTTGATGAACGTGGACGATCAAAGTTTCAATGCGAATGGAAAGAGAAGTAGGCTTCAATAGTTAATGTATGACTACTAGCTACTTTTACCTTGTCTTACAGGTTATTGTACTTATTGAGGTTTAAACATTGTGTTATCCAATGGTCATAAGAATAAAAAAGATAAATCAATTGCGCTGACGTCTCTGCGCAAAGGATCTTACTTAATTCCTTAGCTTGACAATTGACAACTTTTAGATGAGAAGTATTAACTCGTATTCCAGATGTCTTAGAAATGAAAAGGTCTTCTCGTAATAAGTGCAGCAATATATTTTCAGTAGCAACTTGGTCAAACAGACTCTTGACAGACAATGAATGCCGAAGGTATGCTTGGGCATCCTTTTATAGATTCATCAGTATAGAGGTAAATGACCGGTCATGAACCAGCACAACGGAAAAGTAAACCAGATGCGCATGACCGCAATACATTCTGTTTCTATACGCAGTATAACGGGATAGGCAAGTCACATGGAATGTACACCAAGTCAAGTATTCTAAGCTAGTCAGGGTACACTCAAATAATATAAGATGACAATTGTGTTGCACTCAAATTTGATGTCATGACATGATTACTCTTCACCAACTGCTGAAGGCATTAGTTCATCTTTATTTTGTCAGAAATATTTTGAAAACTTGGCTTACTGGTTCCAAATCACCGATGTCATGCAGTACTCTCAGATCCACATTGTAATTAAAAAGTTAGTAGGGTCTATTGGGCTCTTGATCCTCTCATAGAAGCGAAGCACAAGATGCTATTCACCATCAATTCGTGCTGATCGTTCAACATGCATGTGTGAAGTTAAATTCAAGAACTAATGAATTCAGGGCGGACAATATGGTAAAATCGTAAGATACTGTTGGAAGGGGTAAAAGGAAAGACTTATCTTGATTTTAAGTGCTATAAATTCAAAGATTTGGTTGCTCACACCGTCTCGGATATAAAAAGAGTTTGATCCTCCGATTTCTTTTTTCTGCTTGTCCGAGATTAATTAAAATTACAGTGTGTTAGTCGAAGTAATGATTATTTAAAAAAAAAGAATTGACGATGAAGATTATATCTGAAAGCTGAAACTGCGTCTATTTCGTTTGGAAATAATTGAGCGTACCTGTTGTTCGGGAAAGCGTGAAAAACGTGAGTGAAATCACTCGTGCCGGCCGGCGTTGCGTAACTTGTGGAGAAATTTGTCGATGCAGCTGCCGAAGAAGAACAATGCTTGCCCCACTCGTTTTTCTGATCTCGGATGACAGGACCTTCTTTGCTGACCAGATCAAAACCCACTGCTTTCACATTGGCGGCTATTGCTTCTCGTGCAGATCTTGGCCAAATGCCGCATCTTGGGCAGGAAAAAAGGAGAGAAAAAAGTCCGAACCTTTTTTTCATTTCCAAAACCCGCGATGAGTTTTTGTACTGCTATGTGCTGTACTGAATTGACTTCTCCGACTTTCATACTATGAAGAGGAAAGCTGTGTCAAGAGCTATTCTGATGCGTGAAGCGAAATTCCGTGGGGGCGGCGGCGGTCATATCAGTAGGAATTGTAAAAAAAAGTTTTAAAAATTTCGGAGTGCGATAAACGTGCTTCTAAGGGGAAATTATGGACGAAGTCTAACGGAAAAACGTATTTCAATAAAAATAGTTGAAAAGTTGTTGAGTTAATTTTAATTCATGTCTAAATTGAAGTTTGGGTTTTTCTTATCTTTGAAATATTGTGGTTTAGAGTCACTAACAATGGAGTGCGATTCTTCATCGGGATTCTTCATCGGGATTCTTCATCGGGGATAGGATTTTACCAACATTCCCGACTGAAAAACCCTGGTGCGCATGGTACTTGAGTAAATAATGTACGGGTAATTCAGATATTGCCCAGAATAGGGGAGACGAATTAGGAGTTTTTTGTTCTTTCCTAAGGCAGGTGGACACTCTCTACAACAAATTTTTTCTAGTCCTCTGAATTTTGGAAAACTACTAAATTTCTTAGTTCTCTTCACATATTGAGAGGATCCCGTCAGTCTATACAATAGGCAGAGAACCCTATGGGACCAAAAAAGTCGTTATATAGAGAAAATCGTTTAGTCAAGATTACCATCGAGAGAGTCTACCTGTATGTCATGACGTTTCCTTTCGAGTGAGCAAAAAGAGGCGAGTGCTGAAAGACATGAGGTCGCAAAGTGATGTAACATCAATAAATGAGCATCAATTTTCAGCCGCGGGTATGCTTAAATGTAAGATTCAATATTTGTTCTTGCCTCGTTTTACGGTCTTAATGACGATTCTGCTCTTGAAAAAAATTGGAAGAGTCGCTGTACAGTATTTTATTCAAATTTTTTCCTCAAGGGCATTGTCTTCAAAAACCAACTTGAATCATTCCTGCCCCTGAGATTAATTATCCAAAGGTTTCCGGCTCCGAGAGGCTCACCTGAAAGCAGGTATGATATTCACGACATATTTCCCATGAATTT